TTAATGAAATTTCTATTCCTGTCTCTGAGCGGCTGCTGTGCTTTGTCTGGGTCCCCCAGGGGACAAGAGTCAGGCTGGAATGGGACCTCTGTCTGCCAGGCCTTTGTGAAGGCCTGGGAAGAGAAAGGCCAAAGGCTTTGATGATTGGGACCGATGCCCGGCCACTCAGCTCCAGACACCAGGGATCTGGCAAGGGGGTGGGGCAAAGGCCAGACAGACCAACAGCCTTGGGGTCCTGGCGAGAGCTCATCCAAGACCGATCTGAAGCTGGCTGGGCCAAAGCAGCTCAGGCAGCAGTGGCAGACGGGTGCATCCTGGCAGAAGCCAGAGCCTACTCGGTGACCAGCCCTTCAGGCTGGGGCCTGGGATGCTGCACTGGACATGGGCGTGGAAGCTGACCCTTCCCTGGGGCTGTACTGAAGCTGCCGTCCCCAGCGGCGGGTAGCGGCCTGGCCTCGAGGTCGAAGGCAAGGCTCCAGAGGAGGTGCAGGCAGGCAGCACTGGAGAGGTGCAACCCCACAGAGAGGAAGCAGGGGTCTGAGGCCCTGCGTGGAGGACCCCAAGGGCCACTGCCTGGACAGAAAGGAGTAAGTGTGGGGGGTGGTGGTCTGATCCTTCAGTCCACCCTGCCCTGTGTCTACTGTTGTGGTTTACCTGTGGTTGGGAGAGACACAAGGCGGCCCCACAGATGCCTGCAGCTCCTGCTCCATGGCCTTCTTCTGTTCCTTTAGCTCTGAAGGAGAGATTCGGCTGAGCCAGTGCCCAGCTCTTCTAGGGTGTGTACAAGTGCAGGGTGGGAGCAGGAGGCTGGGTGTTCTGGGCCCTGATCTGTGTCCTCACCTGCCAGGGTGGGCTCCAGGGCTGCCTCCGAGGGGTGGCAAGGCCTCATATACTCCTCTTCCAGGCAGCGCTGCAGGGAGAGGCAGGGAGAGCTGTCAGTGCCCAGACTCAAGGTAGGGGTGGGGCAAGGCAGGATACAGAGGCCTAGATCCCTAGGGCATGCCCATGTAGCCCCTTCAGCCCATCCACCATGAGGGCAGCCATGTTCCCCAGGGAATACCAGCCTTGCAGAAGAGCTGAGTTTGGCAAGATAATGGTGGGGCCTGTACCCAGACCCAGGTAAAGGAAGGAGGCAAAAGACCTAAAACCGTTGGCCCTGGCCTTAAGGGCTCAATTAGAATCCTGGGCCTCTAGGATTTTGCAGGTGCACACAAGCATGTATCCCTGAGGAACGGATGCGGGACTCACACAGCCTGTACACGCACCTATGCATGCACACAGGTACATGGGCCTCACCCAGGTGAGAAGCATGAGTGTCTATGCTCAGCAGTGAGGCTTGGGGGAGAGCGCAGGGCTGTGGCTCACCTGCAGGATGGGGATCTCCCTCTCCAAGGTGTGACACTCCTCCTCCAGAAGGCCCCTGGGACATGAGGGAGCAGCAGCCAGAACCCGAGACATAGGACCAGGGCTCAGCTGAGTCCACCACATGGCCGCAACCTCCAGCCTCAGCAGAAGCCCCACCCAACCTGTCCTTCCTCAGCCCACACTGCCCTCTGCTTCTTGGTGGGCTGCCCCAGCATAGACTTCTGGCCCCCACAAGGCTCTTTCTGGGCAGGAAGTGTCTTCCCCTCACCTACCTCACCCTGGCAGGCATCCTTCTCTCTCCCGCACTTCTGCGCTGTGATTCTACTTGCCTCCATCTTCCCTCACATCACAGCCCTTCCTCTGCTTAAAATCCTCTGTGGCTACCCCCAGAGTCAAGATATTTATATTTATTTTTAAAACAGGGTCTTGCTCTGCCACCCATCATGACTCACTGTAGCCTTGCCTTCCAGGGCTCAATCAATCCCCTCTCACCTCAGCCTCCCAAGTAGCTGGTACAGGCATGCACCACCATGCCCAGCTAATTTTTGTATGTTTTGATAGAGATGGGGTTTTGCCATGTTGCCCAAGCTGGTTTCGAACTCCTGGGCCCAAATGATCCTCTTGCCTCAGCCTCCCAAATTGCTGAGATTATAGGCAGGCTCGGCCATGGCATCTGTACTTGGCTGCTTCCTGAAAGCAACCTCACTAGCTCTACAGCAGCCAGCTCTTTCCATCTCTCAGCCTGACACACATGGGTCTCCCCACCCAGTATGTTACCTTCCTCCTCTCTCACAATCCCAGCATGCCAAGATCCATCCCTGTCTCCACCCCTGCCTACACACATGCAGGTGCCCCTGGGCCTCACCTCAGATGTCTGGCCACCTGGTCAATGTTGGACACGTTCAGTTGGTCCTTGATGATGCTGAGATCTCTGTGACCACTGCTGGCAATGAAGTCACTATTACTCTCCCCATGTTGCTCACCCCAGGCCTTCAGGACCCAAACATCACTTCTCCTAGACAACTGTCTTTCTTTTCTCACAAAAACAATATAATATAGTGCAAAGAGTAAGAGTTTGGGAGCCTAGTTTTGCAAATGAGCTCTGCCACCCTTCATTGTGTGTGACTTCAGACAAAGCACTTATCCCTTCTGAGCTTTAGTTTCTTTTCTTTTTGTTTTTTTGGTTTTTTGAGACAAGATTGTGCTCTGTTGCTCAGGCTGGAGTGCAGTAGCACCATCTTGGCTCACTGAAGCCTTGACATCCCAGGCTCAAGTGCTCTTCCCACATCAGCCTCCTGAGTAGCTGGGACTATAGGTGTGCACCACCACACCTGTTCAATTTTTTGCACAAACGGGGTCTCACTATGTTGCCCAGGCTTCTTCTTTTTTTTTTTTTTTTAGAGACAGGGTCTTTGTCACCCAGGTTGGAGTGCACAGGTGCAATCATAGCTCACTGAAGCCCCAAATTCCTGAGCTCAAGCCATTATCCCACCTCAGCCTCCCAAGTAGCTGGGAATCCAGGCATGTGCCACCACGCCTAATTTTTTTTTTCACTTTTTGTAAAGATGGGGTCTCCCTGTGTTGCCCAGGCTGATCTCAAACTCCTGGCCTCAAGCCATCCTCCTGCCTCAGCCTCCCAAAGTGCTGGGATTACAGGCATGAGCCACTATGCCCGGCCTTTAATTTCTTCTTGTGCAAAGTGCAGACTCTGCCCACCTCAGGCTGTGTGAGGATTAGAAAAAGAAGTTGCTGCCATTCACTTATGAATGTTTTATCTCATTCAGTCCCAGCTGTAAATACCATTTGTAGCCATCCTCTTCAGCTCTCCCTGCCTCCCTAACCCAGCCCTCACTCCTGTTCTCTAGGCCAGAGGAGCAATCGCCTGCTGGACTTTCTTCCCTTTTCCTACAAAGCTCTTCTCTCTTTCATCTCCCTGAAAACTGCTCCTCATACGACAACACGCAGATCAAACCACTTTCTCCAGGAAGCTTTGCCTGTCCCCAGGCTAGGCAGGTGTTTCCTCTGGGTTTCGGCAGCCCTCATGTGCTGATCTCTACCACAAGTGGTGGTGGAAGTGCCCAGCCCGTGACTGGAACCTCCTGCATGGAGCCAGGTGCAACCCACCAGTTGGCTAGGGCCCTCTGCCAAGCAGGGACAGATCCCTTTCTCCTACCATCACCTTACCTGGGCCTACCACCTCTCATCTGGAATATCTCCTGTTCTGGCAAATCACACCTGGGCTCCTCCAAGGCAAAGTGCAGGACCCTGGGGCTATACTGGACCCAAGCTTGGGCCTGGTCCCTGCAGAAGGTGCACAGGAAGGAAGATGAGAGGCTCCTTTCTGGAAACCACAGAAAAGGCAACCCTGGCTCTTTGTTAGGGGCAGGGCTAGCCCACCTGGTATCTGGGGAAAGGACCCAGGCCTGAGGCTCCCACCTGCCCTCACAGATGGCTTTGTGGTGGAGACCCTGGAGCAACTGCCGGAGTTCCTGGCGCAAGAGGTCCTTTAGGAGAGGCGGTGGTGCCAGAAGAGAAGAGGGGTCAGAGATGGGGCGGGAGCTGGGGGCTTGAGAGGATCGAGCCTCTTGGAGCAGTGCCCGTAACATCGCCACCTGCAAGGAGAGCTGGGATACCTTGCGACTGGGGAGGGGAGTGACCGGAATGGTGGGGGCTGGGGGAGTGAGGGAGAGGACAGAGTCAAAGGGGAGAGGGCCAGGACAGTGAGACCCAATAGGATCTCGGGAGTTCCCCGGCAGGGCCAGGGACCCGCAGGAGGTGGGAAATCACACCCAGGGGCGTGGCCCACCTTCCCTCTCCCCACCTCCGCCCGCAGCTCCAGGCTCAGGTCCACCGCCGCCTCCCCCAGAATCCTCTTCACTTCGGGTCGCTCCCGGAGCGGAATGTGCTCCTCCACCAGCTCCCACAGCGAGGGGGAGTGACGAAGCATGACCCACCCGCGCCGCCGTCCCCAGCTCGGACCTACAAGCCGCAGGTCAGAGCGCGGGAGGTACCGCGGGCCCGCCGGCAACGCTCACCAAGCCCCGCCCCTCTATGAGGACCGCCCTCTTCCAAGCCCCACCCATGCTCTGCCGCCGGTCCCCTCAGCTGGGATTGCCCCGTCCAGAACCGCCATTCCTTGGCGCGCTCTTCTGCCAGGCTTTTGGTCAACTCGTATGCCGCGGGCCCAGAAGCCAGGCAGTGGGAACCAGCGCCCTAGCCCCACCTCTTCCGCGTGGCCATCACCCGGGAAACCGCGCCGCGACTCTAGGCCCCGCCCCCTCCCGTGTGTGGTCCGGCGGCGGCGCCTGCAGGCTGGCAGTTCAGACTTAGTGCTCCACCGAGCCCTGACCCCAGGCACTTTGGGCTCGGCCCTGGGCACCTTTAGGCCTCAGGGAACGTGTTAAGACCTGAGAAATCTGGGTCCACGGGTTTATTACTTCGTCGCCTCCACTGGCCCGGAAGCAGTGCAAGGACAAACTTCCCCTTAAGGCCAATAGAAGCCTAGGGAGTGACAGCGTTCCGAGAACCAGCATGGCCCGGATCAGGTTTACTTGTTGGGCCAAGTGCCCTTCCACCACAACACACTCAGGGTAACCATGTTCAGGGACCCGACCCCCACCCCCAGACAAGGGAGCTGCTCCATTCACGTTTTTTACTAAAGCACCCACACAAGTTTCTGTGCAATGTACAAACACGAGCCGGCCCTGGGGCTCCTGCCTCCTCTCTCAGACAGGGAGGCGGGCACCAGACTTACTGATCCAAGCCCCACCTGCCTCCCATGCAAAGGCCAACCCCAAGATCCCAGGCAGCGACACAGCATCCCCTCTGGTCCCCTCCTGGGGCAGCTCCTCAGCAGGGGGCGCACCAAAGCTTGCCCCCTACAATGTTGAATGAAAAAGGTTTCCCCTCCCCTGGGAGCAAGGGGGTTCCCAAGAGCTGAGAATTTCCCCCTGGAAGAGACACTGCCCCCTAGACATACCTCCCACCCTTCCAGGCCCTAGGGGACTCAAGGGGGGAAACTGAGGCACAGAGAGGTGGAGTGACCTAGCCCAGGCCACTCCGCGAGGCAGTGCAGGGGCTGGCCCGACCCTGACAGTGACTGGGGCTGGGCTAGGGGGAGGGGGTCAGGAAGGAGGGTTGACTCCAAAGAGGGCCACACTTGTGAAGAGCCTGCCCAGGCAGGAGGCCCCCAAAGTGGGTTCTGAAACTTCCAGGTATAGCTAGGGGGCCTATTGAAGACCCTCGGAAAACAAAGCCCACAGTCTCAGTCCTGGAGGTCCTCCACAGAGCAGCTGCCAGCCAGGCTGTGGTCAGTCCTCTGGCAGGCAATCCTCGGCACCGAGAGCCTCTGTCCATTAGTGTCAGCCCCGAGGGGGCCACGACGGGGGCCGCCCAATGTCCACTGTGATATTGGTGAAGAGTGGTTGCCGAGACACCTCCAAGACCTGGTACCGCACTGACCCAATGCCGTCCCGCTTCATGGTCAGCTTCGTGTTTTGAATCTTGGTAAACCTAGATAGGATGGAAATGGTCTGTATCAGGGCTAACAACTGTAAACTACAAATAAAATCCTACACCCCCCAATCAACTAAATGGACCCCCTTTTGGCCACGGGGACCCCAGAGAAACCTTAAAAACAGGGTTTCCAGCCATGATGGGAAGGGACGTCAAACATGCCTTGTTATACCCACTCCCTTTTGCAGTTTAGACACAACAAATGACCAGGATTAACGTCAAAGCAGAGATCACAAGACTGACAGAATGCATTCTTTGTGTCAATAAGATACCTAATTATAAATAGGATCTAAGGCCAGCCAGGCAAGGGTTAAGTCATGCACCTCTGCACTTAAAGAAGAGACTATGCTCTAACTGCCGCAAGGATTTTCTTTTTCTGTAGCAGCTAAACAAGTACTGGACTTGAGATAACCAATATTAAAACAATTTGCATAATGTGGTAATTTATTAAAGCTAAAAATAATAGAAAAAAATTTGCAGCTCACCCACTGCCAGATGCTGACCCCTACGCCCCTGTTCCACAAGCCATAACTATAGCTTTGGTGGGACAAGAGACTGATTTCAGTAACTTTCTCCTGATAAGACCATCGGCTGTGAACTGGTTCTAGCCAGTTTACAGAGGCTGCACACTTGAGTACTTTTGTCCTTTTGAGGTATAGGGCCTAACTGCAATACATTTAAATATTGTCTCCACCCCAAAGTGAACATAGATGATATATAACATGCATGTTTGTTCAATATGCATATGTCAGGACCCCCTCCATGAATATTCATAGCTCCTCCAATAACCTATTGACCAATCCATTCAACTAAAATTCCTATCTCACTCCTCCCTCCCTCGAAGTGCCTGTTAAGGCTTTGGCTGGAGGCTCTGCTTCCTAGCCAGTGGGATGGCCAGCCTGCAGGTTGTAACCCTTTATAAAGGAGAAATAAAGTCTCCTTTTCAAATTTGATTTAGTGATTTTTTTTGTTGTTTTTTTTTTTGAGACAGAGTGCAATGGCGCCATCTCAGCTCACTGCAACCTCCGCCTCCCAGGTTCAAGCAATTCTCCTGCCTCAGCCTTCCGAGTAGCTGGGATTACAGATGCCTGCCACTGCACCCAGCTAATTTTTGTATTTTTAGTAGAGATGGGGTTTCACCATGTTGGTCAGGCTGGTCTCAAACTCCTAACCTCAGATGACCCACCCACCTTGACCTCCCAAAGTGCTGGGATTATAGGTGTGAGCCACCTCATCCAACTGATCTAGTGATTTTTAAGTTACCACCACCAAACCCAGTATGGGATCTCTGTGGCCTAAGCTTAAGCCATCCTGGCTCCTTCCAGGGTTGACTTGGCAGGAGCCCTTCTGCTCTTGCATTGGCCCTCAAAACAGAGATCTCACCTGCTTCAGTCAGAAAACAGAAGTCTGACACCCTCACAAATCTCTCAGCTCAGACTTTTATTTTTTTTTTTTAAGACAGAGTCTTGCTCTGTTGCCCATGCTGGAGTACAGTGGCGCAATCTCAGCTCACTGCAACCTCTGCCTCTTGGGTTCAAGCGATTCTCCTGCCTCAGCCTCCTGAGTAGCTGAGACAACAGGTGCACACCACCAGGTCCGGCTTTTTGTTTTGGTTTGGTTTTTTGAGATGGAGTCTTGCTCTGTTGCCTAGGATGGGAGTGCAGTGGTGCGATCTCAGCTCACTGCAACCTCTGCCTCCTGGGTTCAAGAGGTTGCCTCTCAACCTCCTGCCTCAGTCTCCAGAGTAGGTGGGATTACAGTTGCTCGCCACCATGCCCAGCTAATTTTTTTGGTATTTTTAGTAAAGATGGGGTTCACCATTTTGGCCAGACTGGTCTCAAACTACTGACTTCAGGTGATCTGCCCACATTGGCCTCCCAAAGTGCAGGGATTACAGGCATGAGCCACCGTGCCCAGTCTTTTTTTTTTTTTTTTTTTTGTATTTTTAGTAGAGACAAGGTTTCACTATGTTGGCCAGGCTGGTCTCGAACTCCTGACCTCAAGTGATCTGCCTGCCTTGGCCTCCCAAAGTGCTGGGATTACAGGCACAAGCCAGTGTGAGGTCAGCTCAGACCTTTCTATGCCTGAGACCAGGCATCCTACAGGCATCTCAAGCGCAACCAGATGCATCATTTTTACTCCCCACGCCTGTGCCATTTTCTCTGTTCCTCATTCTTTAGTGACTCTTTCGCCAGCTATTTATTGAGCACCACCACGTGCCAGGCTGTGCTCTAAGCACCAAGGCTACCGCCATAGCCATGACAGGTGGGGTCCCTCCTCTCAGGGCAAGTTGGCTTCTCTAGGGGAGGCAGGTAACGGAGAAAACATCAGAGTGCTAAGAGAGACAAGAGGGCATATGTGACATTGAGCTGAGGGCAGGAACAGAGCACTCCAGGCAGAGGTCACAGCACATGCTGACCCTAAATTGGGAAGATTTTGCACAGCTGAGTGGCTAAACCTGAATGGGACACCTGGAAAAGCAGAATATTAGCCTGAAGGTTCAATCACACTGTGCAAGGGCAGGGCTCTAAGTCAGAGTGAGCAGTTCATATTTTCATTCTCACAGAATGAAATGTGTAAAGGATCTAAGAAATGTTTAACCCAGTTTGGGGGGCAAGCCATAAACAGGGAAACCAGTTAGAGGCCACTGCAGTAGTCCAGGCAGGATCCCAGAGGTTGAACTAGGGTAAACGTAGTAAAGGGGGAAAGCAAATGGACTCAAATGTTTTAGGGGTGGCAGTGATACAGCTTGCTGATGGATTTGGATTATGTAGGGTGAGGAAAAGAATAATCCAGAACTCCCGGATTTTAGGCAACAGCAACTACGTAGAGAGAGTTCACAGAGTTTGTGAACTCTGAATTTGGTATCAGGCTGGCTGGGAGAAGGGCCTACAGGGTTTGTGAAATGTAAACAAGAGCTTCCTAACGCTGCTCTGTGACTTGTGCTAAACTTTCTGGGGGTGGGAGACTCAGAGTAGTCATACCCAATCCGTGAACCCAACATTCACAGAGTTCTTTAAGCCGGAAACTTCTTGCTATCTTGCCGCCTCTACAACGAAGCCAGACATGTGTAATTGATGGTGGCACCCAGGCAGGCTACTCCTGAAACAGGACCAAGGCTCCTGGTGTGTACTGTGGAGCTCCACTCCTCCCCCAGATGCCCTGAAGCCCCTCTTCTCTTGGTCTCTTACCCGTTTCCTGCTGACCAGTTTTCATCAGAACTGCTTTTTCATCAGCTCCCTGCACTCCCCAGTGCCTCATGCTTCTCCGAGGCACCAACCCCACACCAGGGCTACAAACCACCTCCCCCACTCCTACCCCGTGTTCAGAGTAGAAAAACCCTCCTGCTCAAGCTGGAGACACGGCATCTCCATCCCCAGACCCTGTCCCACCATGCTCCCTTGGACTCCTTAGATTCCTTCAGGCCGGGCTGACTATCTCTCCTGCTCCACCCAGCGGCTATGCCAGGCTTTCGCCCTGCTAAAGCTCAAACAGTGTGCCTTCCAAACACAAACCCTGCCCCGCCTCTCCCTGCTTCAGGTTCTTCCATGACTCCCCAGTCCTCTGGGACAAAAGTTAAACTCCCATCTGGTATTCAAGACCCCTGACACTTACATGGTGAAAGGGCAACAGAAGAAAAACCCCTAACATCCAGACCTGACTTTCCCTCCGCCCCACTGTCACTATCAGCCTTCAGAGATCTTAAAACCAAATAGCTTCAGACTCTTGGCATGTATCATACACGTTCACATTCCAGACTCTTCCGGATATGATTCCCCTTATCCAGGCTGGTTTCCTCTATTAGCCTGGGGAATGTAACACTGTGCCCAAGGTAGGCGTGAGGCAAATCTTTGTTAAATGAGTAACTATTTCAAACTCCAGTTTACCATCGCCTCCTCCAGGAAGCCTTCCATCACCAATCCCTCTTCTGCCAAGAGAACACCTTGCCTTGATCACCTTGTGCTATAACTGCCTGTTTCCATAACTATTTCCCTGCCTAGAATGAACTTTGTAAGGAAAAGCACAGATTGGGTATGACTACTCTGGGTCTCCCATCCCCAGAAAGTTTAGCACAAGTCACAGAGCAGCCTCAAGAAGCCCAGGAAGCCCTTGTTTACATTTCACACACCCTTTAGGCCCTTCTCCCAGCCAGCCTGATACCAATTGTGGCTACCTCCTAAGAGATACACCCACCTCCTTCAATTTCAGAGGGGTGGGCATTGTGTTTCCACACCCCCTTCCCATCCTGCTCAGGTCCCCTTTGTCGGGTCCACAGGAGCTGTGCCCAGCACCCACTGGCTCTTGTCCTATCTGTCCCAGCAGGGATCCCACAGGTGCACAAGTGAGGTCTGCGAGGGCACCAACAGGAATGCAATCCACTCAATTACTATTTAGGCCTTGACATTAAATTCTAGTCACCTCTAGGAATCGGGCCAGGGGTAAGTGATATTGGGCTGAGGCTGGGCTGGAGGTTGGGGGACAATGATCGGGGTACCAGCAGTCACCTCTAGGACTCAAGGGCTTTGGATCACCTCAGGGAATCAGTGGCACTGGGAGTCACCTCTTTGGAGTCAAGGATGCTTGGAGATCCCCCACTGGGGGGTCAGGCATTGGGCAACTTGGGGTTAAGAGCTGGGGATATTGGGAAGTTGCCTCTGGGGAGGAAGGGGTGAGGGTGCTGGGGTTACCTCTGGGGAGTAAGGGGTGAGGGTGCTGGGGTCACCTCTGGGGAGTAAGGGTGAGGGGTGCTGGGGTCACCTCTGAGGGTTGGGTTCGTTATGCTTGTCACGGTCGTGCTTGATCATGCGGTAGCGGCCGATTCGGATGTCTGGGCGAGAGATCTTCATCCCAGTGAGGGAGATCCTGAGGATAGGGATGGACAGACTGGAACAGGCCCCAGGAAGGGCAAGGAACCCCACCCAGTCTATACCTCACCCCCCACCCACCCAGCCTATTCCCCACCCCGTGCTTACTCACCGGTTGAAGATGTCATCGTCCTCGCCACCCCAGCCCCAGTACTCGTTGGGGAAGCCATTGATTCTCAGAAACTGAGCCTTACTCAGGCCTGACACACCTCCAAAGTAGCCAGCATAGGGCAGCCTGTGGCATGGGAAGTCAGGTGTCAGTAAGGGTCCCAAGGAGACTCCAGGGGAAGAACCAGAGACTGGGTTGGGGGGAATGTCCAATGGGGTCCAGGGAGGATCCAGCCTCGCCAGTGGGGTCTGGGCTGGGGCCAGGAGCAAGCGGGGCCCTGGGGCTGGAAGTGGGTCTGTGTCTGGTGGTGGCAGGAGGGCTGGGTCTGGTTGAGAAGACAGCCCTCACCGGAAGCCAAACTTGTCCATGGCAATGGCAAAGTGGCGGGGTTGGTCGCCGCAGCGGTATAGGTTGCGGTCATCCATGGGGACCAGGTCCACATCGCTGAAGATGAAGCAGTCATAGGTGGCATCCTCCTTCAGCGCCTCTAGGAAGCCCACGTTGAGCAGCTTGGCCCGGTTGAAGGTGTCCTCACCATGCTGGGTGAGGGGAGGAGCAGGTCAGCTCTGGGCCTGTGACCAGCAAGCACCTGCCCTTTGCCACTCTCCAGAGCAGTCTCTGGGGATTTACCAGCCCCCTCGCTGCCTGGCTCCTCCAGACTCTCAAGATCTAGTCCAGCTTCTCGACCGGGATCTGGCCTGCAAAGGCCTTTCATATGTGGCTCCAACCTCCTCTCTGGCCACTGCCCTCATATCCTGAGGCCCAGCCACACAACATCCCTCAGCAGCCCCAGAACATGCCAGACTCTTCCTTGCCTCCAGGCCTTGGGGTTAGCAGTACCTGTGCTTGTCACACTCAGGGCTGGAGCGGCTCCCCTGACCAAACTTCCCCACCCCAGTACACTTATTCCCTCCTTCCCGTGGGCTTCCTTTATGCCAATACCCAATGACAACGATGGGTGGAGTTCTCATCTCATTCGCTCATTCAAACACGCCCTGTGGCTCTCTCTCCTTTGTGCTAGTGGGGATTCTGGAGATGGCCAGCCCTGGTCCCACTCCTGCTGTGTATAGAGTCATGCAGTGAGACAAACAACGAATGCCCCAAATGACCAGTGTCTAAGATGCAGGAGCCATGGGGACTGCGCCAGGAGCCTCAGGCTCCCTGGAGCTGCATCCAGCTGCCTGGGCAGCCTCTGAGACCAGGACACGTCTGGGCTAGATTCACTTCTCTCTCCAACAAAATGACAAGCAGAGGGCCTACAAGCAGTCACAGCCCAGTGAGTCTGGGGTCCCCTGAGAATTGGGGCTGCAGGAGTCCTGGCCATGCAGGCCTAAGCACCAAACTCTGGACTAGCAGGGAGCATTCAATGGGAGGAGCTGACCCCTGAGCCCCTGCCCCAACCCACAGCCTCCAGGCTAGAGCCAGAAAGGTTCCTGGAGAGGGGCCGGTGAGTGGCCTTTCTGGAATGAGTGGAGAGAAAGGCCCTCCTCTCCACCAGCAAAGCCACTGCCGGAAGAGGTGGGAGCTGCTCCCCTCTGGAACCCTGACCTGCCCAACCCCGCCGGCTCTCTTCCCTCCCTCTCCTGCACCTCCTCTTTCCCCGCCCTTGGAGAGACCGTCACTTTCCTCCCAGCTCATCAGCACTCCTCCTGACCTCTCACCAGCCAGGAGCCCTGTGTCTCTCCCACATGGCTCATAAACATGCTCAATCCTCTCCCATCTGAAAAAACAAACCTCCCTCCAGCCACCATCCTACCTTTTGCCTTCCCTTCTCAGCAGGAATTTTTTTTTTAAAGAGTTGTCTCTAATTGGTTACTTCCATTTCGTCAAATCCGATTCCTTCTTCAACCCACTGCAATCTGCTTCCGCCCCCACCATGCCCCTGAAATGGCTCTCGCTGGGCCCACCTTGTTGCTAAATCCACTGGACGAGTTTTGGTCCACATCCCTCCTCACACCCCCACAGTGCCCATGCAGCTGCCATGTCTCCTTCCTGACACTGACTGCTGGGTTTCCGGGATCCCACACTCCCCTAGGTCTCCTCCGGCCCTTCTGGCCAAGCCTCTCAGCCTCTGTAGTGGCCTCTTTCTCCCTCCATCCCTGAAGTGCTGGCTTCCTCCTCTCATGCCCCTTGCTACCTGGCAGGTCAGACGTTGTTGGTTTTAGGGACCAGACCGTCTACATCCTGGTGCTCCCAGATCCCTCTCTCCACTGCAGACCTCCCTTCTGGGTCCAGACTCATTTGTCTAACTGCCTGCTAAACATGTACTTCCCACAGGCACTCAAACTCATCACACGCAAGAAAGGATTCAGAGTCACACTCCCCCAGAACTGGCCCAGCTCCTGTGTCCCCATCTCACTCACAGGCACAGCCATCCCCACAGCCAACAGCCGAGGCGGAAACCCTTGCGCTGTCCTGACGTCGCTCTTTTCTAACTCTCCACTACTTGCGCAACATCCCCACTTCTTCCCCGAGACTCCCGCCCCACTCATCCGCAGGGTCACCGCCTCTCTCCTAGGCATTGTCCTCTCTTCCAGACGGGCCACCCTGCCTCTAATCTCCCCTTTCCATCCATGCTCCATATGCAACCAGAGCAACCTTTCTACAAGGCAAACACGCAAGTCACTCTCCCCTTACAACCTTACATGGTGCCCTGCCACCTTTGCGCTGGACTTACTGCCAGCATGCCTCCCAAGACACTTCTCAGTTTGACCTCCAACTCCTCCAGCCTCATCTTTGCTACCCAGCCCACATGCTGGACATATAGTCCACACCTCAGCCAATAAATGGTGAACACAAGGCCAGTTCTCTCACTGGGCCTGCATCCTCCAGGTCCCTCTGCCTAGAATACTGGCTTCTCTAGACCCTGATGCCTGTTCATCTCTCAAGACCCATCTCAGCAACTGCTTCCCAACCCCAGGGCTGGGCCAGGGCCCTCTGTGCTCCCACGGCCCCCTGCTCCACCTCCACTTGCACCCCATCATACAGGAGGGACCCAAGTCCAAGACTAGGAGGTCTCTGTGGTCGGGGGGTGGGGGGACCTGCATCAGAAGTCCCTTCTGGGACCCAGTGGCCAGTCCTAGCCAGGCCCACCAAAAGCCTTAAGATGCTGAGCTGAGTGCCCTGGCCTCAGCTGTGGCTGGCACCTACCCCAAAGGGTTCTGCAGGCTTCCCCTTCTTTCAGGGTCTAACTCCCTCTCCTCAGGGCCCTCAACACCTCCTCCTACAGCATACCTTAGGCCTGCACCACCATGGGGTGAGGCCAGCCAAGGCTAGAGAGTGGGGCTCAACCCCTTCTGAGACCATGCACACCCCTGCCAGTGTGCATGCCAACATTCACATGCACACACTGTGTGCACACATTCCTGTGCACACTGACAAACACAGACTACCCATGCCCAGGTACATCCACATATCCACATGGCCATGGGCAGACAAGGACCCACAAATGCCCCAACCCACATATACACCAACAGGCACATGGGCCCCCACATGGGCACCTGGTTGATGACATAGACACCGTAGCGCAGCCGCTGCCGCCTCAAGATGGGGTGTAGATAGTGGAGCCAGTAGCGCAGGTGGTGTTCCCGGTGTCTAAAGGGGATGATGACCGCCACCGTCTGGGCTGGGGTGCAGTCGGGCGGTGTGTATCGGCCACCCATGAGCACGCCTGGGTTCTCCCTCTGCACCCGCTCCAGGGGCATGGGTGAGGTGAACTCGATCAGCAGTCTGCCCACTGCAGGCAGGACAGTGTCAGGAATCAGGCCAGAATCCACAGATACCAGCCCCCACCCTCAGCCTGGGGGTGGGCTAGGGAACCCCAAGAATAGCCCTCTTACAACAGACCTGGACCCTTGGCACCCCCATGGGTCCGGATGCCATTTCTCTAGTCAAATCAATAAAACACTGTTTCCCCACAGGCAGGCCCTACCCTCCAGGCTCACCAAGACCAGGTGGCGAGTCAGGACAGGGTGGCAGCATAGGAGCCGTGGGACCGGGCCGGGCACTGGGGACCTCAGGGAGCCCGGAGCTAGAGGCGGTGGCGTTGGGCCGGGAGCAGTTGCTGCTGCTGCTGCTGCTGGCAGCTGGGTGGAGAGCACGGGCAGGGCCTCGGGCACTGAAGCGGCTGAAGAAGGCCAGGTGCTGGGCGTAGACGTCAAAGTAGAGGATGACGGCCACGAGGAAGTGCAGCAGGCAGAGAAGGAGCACAGCCTTGCAGACGCGCTCCAGCGTCCCCCCCAGCAGTCTGCTCATCCCGCAGGCGGCCGCTGGCCCGCCCAGTGGGCCCGGGCATCCGGCTGCCGGCCTGAGCAGGGTGGGAGGGAAACAGATCCAGCAGGTCAGGGCAGGACAAGCAAGGCTGCCCACCTACCTCCCACCCAGCTGCCCACAGTCGCGGGCCACACCTCACACTGACCTGCTCATACCCTTTCCCGCTCACAGACTCACGGACTTACCTGCAGACACCCAGGCACAGTTCCCGGCAACTCAATACTCACATCCTCAAGCACACCCCACTACTAAGCCACATACAATTACCTTCCTCCACCTCACTGACACACACACTCAGGCACTCACCCTAATTGCACAACTCTACACACACACGCATTCCCAGGAACACAGACATGTGAACTCTGACCACACTGGTTTGTACCTAAGCATGGAAACATGTTTACCTATAGACCCCCGTGTGCCCCGGTGCCTCTGAGAACAGACACCCCACAGGGCAGCATCCTTAACCCAGAACTCATGGCTTTGGGAAGAGGGAAGAGACGGAATACTGTGCACCTACCATGGAGGAGCACCTTATACTCATGACTGCATTTAGTCCTTCCAGGAGCCATGGTGGGAAGTGGTTTGGTCATTCAGATCCCAGGCCAGGCCAACTGGGACCAGGCTGGGAAGTTGCCCTCAGCATCCGGGGGGCCCAAATACAGACTGGATGTTTACAGAATCCCTTCCCACTGGAGCAAAACGTCAAAATATGGGGCGGGGCAGGGGACACCCCTCGCTTAAGACCTCAAAGCCAGCCCCTTGGGACTGGGACCAAGGCTCTGGGCCCTGTCCAGCACAGCTGGTTCTGATTCCCGGAACGAGATGCTTGGGCCTGCAGACGGGCACAGCACTGGGCATGGCAGGAAGGGGTCTTGCCTGGGCGACGGCTCCAGCTGTGGTTCCAAGAGAGCAGCAGCCACTTCTGGCAGTGCTTCAGGGAGCAGGGCGAGTCTCACAGGCACACAGAATCACAGGGACACCCTGGCCCCAGCTAGTCACCCACACTCAGACACACAGAGAACTACAGTCACAGACACACCCGGGTGACAGTAACACACGAAGTCCCACACTCACAAACAAAGCCACTGCTCCTGGACTTCCACAGCCATACATCCAGGCTCCCAGGCAGCTCACATCCAGACCCACGTGCAGACATTCCTACTCTCCCTCCAGCGCAGGGGTTCTGGGTCAGGCTGGTGGCCAGGCTGAGGGGTGCGTTTGGGCGGGGCTGGCAGGCTGAACACGTGGCACCCGGGGAGGGGCAGGCCGCACAGACCGGGTAGGTATGCAGCCTGGGGGCAGGGGGAGTGGGTGGAGGGCAGGGGACGAGGCAAAGGCCAAGGGGAAACGTGTATGGAACGCCTCCCCGCGCCACGAGGCCGGGGCGAGCGAGGACAATGAGGGAGGCCGGCTGGACGCGGGCGGAGGAACCCAGGAGGGGCGCCGGGGTGGGGGCGGGGTGGGGGCAGCCAGGCCAGAGTCTGGCCGCCGGCGCCTCTCTCACCGGCTCCTGGGTTGGGATCTCGGGGCCGCGCCCGGGGTGCCCCTCGCGGGGCTGGGTCTGGAATCTCGGGGCCCTGGGTGGGGGCCGCGCGCGCCCTTCTCTCACCCGGCGCTCGGGGCTCAGCAGGGGACGCCGCTCCGGCTTGGGCAGGGCTCCCGGCTCCGGCGGCTGCTGACGGTTCCGTCCCCCATGGCCCGGCCCCACCGCCTCCCGCCGCCCGGTCAGCGGCCACCGCGGCCCCCGGGTCGCCTCCCGCCGCCGCCGCCGCCGCCGCCGCCGCGGGCCATGGAGCCGAGCCGCCCCGGGGGGCAGGGCGGGGCCGGGCGGCCGGGCAGACCCACGGACCGGCGGACCCACGGAACACAGCGCCGCCGCCTCCCTCCCGCGCTACGGCGCCTCGGAGGGGCAGGCCCGGCCCGCGCGCCCGCGCGCGCGCCCCCGCGGCCCCCGCCTCCAGCACGCCCGCACCCGCCGCGCGCCGCTACGAGCCCGCCCTGCCGGCGGCGGAGCCCGGGCGCCCAGGAGGCACGGACCCCGGAGCGGAGGAGGAAATGGGTCAGGCTGGTCCAAAGGGTGGGCTTAGAGATCGGACCGGCGAGCGGGTGCAGACTGTCGAGTTCTTTAGCGGGGAGTGGGGATTGGATTGGAGCGCGAACTCCCTAGGAAGGGGACCTGGAGGTTGGGTAGACTCAGGCTGGGGGGTTAGGGATTTGTCAACTCTAATTGGACCAAGATTCAAGGTCGGCCAGCAGAGAGGGGGCAGGACCCTTAAAGGCGTGGGCTGGAGGTGGCTGGGGCTTCTAGGGTAACAGGAAACAGGGTCACGGAAGGAGAAAAAGAGATTGGACAGGGGTGGGAGGAGCTGGGGGCCCTAGGAACAAGGATCAGAGTACAGGTTTCTGGGAGGGGCTGCTATTGGGACAGGACCACCACTGAAGGCAGAGACTACTGCCTGGGCTCCAGGCCTCACAGGGACGGAGATGATGGTCCCCGAAAGTACAGCCAGGTAAGTAGATGTTGTTAGACAATTGGGGCATGGTGGTCAGAGCCCTGAGCAAACGGGCCTAGAAGGACCACAGGCACAAACACACCCAGGGGCCCATATCTGCACACTCCCTCATCCCCAAACAAGTCTGTTTGGGGGCCACAGAGTCCTCCACCCAGCACCCTTGCCTCCCCACCTAGGAGCAAGCTCTGTGCAGATCAGAAGTGTGCAGTCAGAAAGCTGACAAGGGATTGGCATGAGGCTTGTAAAGGCCTTTTTACCCTTCCTCTGTGAACGGTGGCGCAAGAGGGCAACAGAAGCTGCACTGACCCAGACAAATACCAAGTTTATTTCACAAACACTAGGAAGATGGGTTGAGGATGGAGGTGGGGGACACAGGTGCACAGCTGCAGAGTCATCAGCAGCAGCCTGCTCCCAGCACTGAGAGCCGGCCTGGACTGCAGTGCCTCCAAATCAACACGCAGCGAGAGGCGAGTGCAGGGAGGGCCCTGACCACCAAGCCTCTGAAAGGCTAACGGACACAGCTCCAGCTGTCCCAGGAAAACCATCAATAAATAAGAGTGAGGCACGGCCCCACCCACACATATCATCTAGTCACCCATCTTCACTCTGGAGGTCTGCAAAAGAAGAACAGGAAAAATCAGGCAGGGACAGAGGAATACGTAAGGCAGTGACAAATGACAGAAAATGAGACCTAGCACATGGTTGGATGGACAGACCACAAGAGATTTATGACTAACCAGGATGGACACACTGTGACAGACAAGGCAGACAGACAGGGACAGACAACCACAGAGTTACGCTGTGGGACAGATGGAGAGAGGAGGCATATGGATAAAGCTAGTCACTAAGAGTCAACCCAGTCAAGCACCCACAGTCACACTCAGACCCTCAGGCTGATCCTTAGTCACAAACTCACACACTGTCAGACAGACTAGACACACACAATTTAGACAATGCTGTCCTACTGACAGGCATGTCACAGAGAAATACACATAGCTCCGAGAGGCAGTCAAACACACCATGATAGACTGATATAGACAGACAAAATTCCATCCTAGTCTAGATCACGAATACAGACTGGAGGCACAAAGAGCATGGCAGATAAAATGAGAGAACAGAAAGAGGGAGAGACTAAGTGAGAGCTATACAGATACAAAGCATTAGAAAGGGGGAAAAACAAAACAGGGCTGTTGTCAGTGATACCAAATCAGAGACAAAAATAGCCCCTGCAGGAGAAAACCAGAAGATGGAAACGAGGAGGTGGAAGCTGTTTGGGGGAATCTATAGTTATAGGTAGAGAAGGAGAGCACTTCAGCTTCTCCAGAAGGAGGGTAAGGCTAGGTTGGGGACAAGGACACAGAGGCTCCCCAAGGGGATTCATCACCTGAAGAATTGCGACGATGACCCCAAAGAGGCCAATGGCACTGCCAAAGATCTCCACGATGAGAATCTTTACAAAGAGGCTGGGGTTCTGAGCATCGGCCAGGGCAGCCCCACTGCCCACGATGCCCACGCAGACTCCACAGAAGAGGTTAGACAGCCCTACGGTGAGGCCAGCCCCAAACATGGAGTAGCCTGGGAGGATAGAGAGGGGTGCAGTGAGGCTAAGCCAGGAATGGGGGAGATATGGGCCAATGGGGCCAATCCCCATGCCCACTCTGCAAAGCAGAAAAAGCAGGTGAGAGAATATCAAAATGGGGGTCTAAGCTGGGAGGGGAGAGAGTAGAAGCAGGCATGAAATCCCAGCATTTTGCATTCATACATCCATCCACCCACCTGCATGGTAGTTCCGATGGCCAATGGCCTTGGGGTCCGTGGCACTGAAAGGCTGAGGGAAGAAGAAAAGTAATCAGAAACCACCCTGATGCACCCCATCCAATCTCTAAGCAATGTGTAGAACACACCGGAATGGATTCCCGCCACCACCCTGGCCTTCCGTACCTCAGCCATGTTGCTAATGACAATTGCCATGATGATGCCGTAGATGGCCACAGCCTCACAGAAGATGATGCTGGTAGTGGTAGAGGTTAGGGGTAAGGAGTGGAAAGGAGAAAGAAATGAGAAAGAAACCATCCTTCCTGCCCAGTAAGTCCCCAGTAACCTTTCGCCGCTAACATCCCATCCACAAGGCGGCTTGTCAGAAACAGTATGTCAGATCACACACCCAGGCAGCGCCAACACAGCTAGTTCTGACAAAAGTCCGAGGGCCCTGACACTTACCTGACTAGGTTCTTGGTCTTGATCCTGGGGGCCTTCACTCCTCCACCAATGATGGAAGAGCCAGTAATATAGATACCCCTGGTGGAAGGATAAAAAACTGATGAGCAGAGCCCAAGCTGTCACTGCCCTCAGCATGACTAAGACCCCAGTGACACCACCTGCCATGACTCAGCCCCTGCCCCCAGTCCCACCACACAAGTACTCACCAGGCTGCCCCAACCACAGACAGGGAGATAGCTAGGCCAATGCCCAGGTTGGACCACATGAAGGGCGAAGTCTCCGTCAGGAACCTGTTGTGGAGGCAGAGAAGAAAGCAATTCAGCCCTAGCAGGGAAGTAGAGCACAAAATCTTGGCCCCCCAACCCCCCTTCAACCCCACCACCACTTCTGCATGCAACAACTGACTGCATATTTCCCAAAGGTCCATGTCCCAGGCAGGCGGTGGTGTGGCTCGAGAGGGACTCAGACCAGAGAAAAGAGGAGAGGCTGCAGGGAAGAAGCTTCAAGGGGAATCCTGCCCCTGCCCTCCCTTACCATGCCACATCAAAGCGGAAGCCCAAATCAAAAATGGTGTAGCAGATTCCTGCAGCAATGAGGAAAAAAAAGGGGGTTACGGGATGCTCTGTAGAGATAAGTTCCTCAACCTAAAGTAGCTGCCGAACTGTAGGGCCGCGCCGAGCTGAAGGACCACCTCCCTGAAGGGGCGTCCTCAGGCTGCCCTCAGGTGACAATACAGCTATCTAGACAGATTCCTGTGCTTAGGCCTCCATTTTCTGCCACTCCCTTGCTAAAACCACCTCCCAGACGAAGCACCTGTGCAGGCAGGATCGCCACCCGCAAGCCTGAATCCGAGGCGGGACCGAGGGAGCAAGCGCTCCAGCCAGGCCCCGCCAGATCCCGCCGGTCCAGTCCGTTCCGCTGTTTACCCAACAAGCTGTGAGTGGGGGAGGGCAAAGCGACCGGGAAAAGAGGAACCGGAGCAGCCGGCCTGTGACCAAGCAGGCCGGTCAGAGCAAGAAAATGGGGACGGCAGTGAGACGTGGGGGCGGGGGGAGACAGCGATTGTGGCAGGAAGGGAGAGTGCTGCCCTCGCGGCCCCTACCCGCCCGCACCCGCGCCCCTCCTCAAGTAGCCAGAGATCCGGGTCTCCTCTGTCGGGGTCAGAGGCCCTCGCAGGCGCCAGTCCAAAAAGCCCGGGGTGCAGAGCGCGCGGGGGGCCAGTATTCCCCGCAGGCCACTTCCCCGGTGGGTTCTGGCCCGGCCAGCTCGGCCGCGATGCTGCCCCCGCCCGCCAGGACCCGGCCTCACCCACGGCCAGCGCGCAGGCCCAGAAGGCCACGAAGACCCCGGAGTAGAGCAGCGCTAGCCCCGTCATGGCGGCGACGGCGGCGGGGGTCGGAACCGTGGGGCCGGAGTTACAAACGCGTCCCAGCGTCCACCGTCCGCCCCGCAGTCTGTCCGCCCGCCCCGCAGCGTCACCTGACTCCCCCACGTGACGCGCCGGCACCACGTGACCCCACGCCGGTCCCCGCGCAGCGCCGCCGCCTGTCTAGAACAAGGCGACGCCGGAACCGCAGGCGCTGGGGATTGTGGTAATTGTAGTCACGCGTCTCGGCGGAGGCTCGGGCGCCCTCCTTACTAGGAACTTCGACATCTGGCCGGTCCTTTTCGAGTCTCTCCACCTCGCCCTGCCAGCCCTGTTTTATTCTCTAGCCTGCTCGTGGGCCCCTAAGGCGTCCTCTCTAGCCGTCGTGCGTCCTAGCCAGTGGCGGGTGGCGCCGCGCGTGCCCTCTGCCTCACCTTGCTCAAAGCGTCTCTCCGCCCAGCGCGCCTGTTGGCTCTCGTTCCGCTGCCTGGCTAACACCTACCGTCCTCCGAAATCGTCCTTCCGTCAAGCCTTCCCTAACCCAGTGGCAGGGAAGCGCGTTTGCTGGGCTCCCATGATGTCCTGGTGATGCTTATTAAGCTTCAGTAAGATGTCAGTCCCCTGTCTTAATGCCCTGATAGCTCCCATTTCATTCAGGAGAAAAGCCAAAGTCCTCACAATGGCCTGCTAGGCTCCCCACGCCCCTCAGCTGACTTCACCTTCTAATACTCCGCCACTAACTCTTCTGCCTGCACTGCCCTCCTTGCTATTTGCTTGAACGTCCCAGCCATATTCCCACGTCACTGCCCTTGCACTTGCTCCCTCTGCTTCTCCTAACTATCCATGCGGCTCATCCTGTAACTTCCTTTCAGTTTTTGCTCACCTTCTTGAAAAGTCCTTCTCTGACCATTCTGTGTAATATTCCACCCCCCTTAAACGCTCCTCTGCTTCCCAGCTTTACATTTCTCACGGTACTTACTGATCACCATTTGGCATACCAAGTCTTTTATTTGTCCATCTCCCCCTGGAAGAATGTAAGCACCATGTCTTTTGTGTCACTCACTGGTGTATTTCCAGTACCTGGCACAGAGTGTGTCCTCAGTGCATATTTGTAGAACACGATTGATGCCCACTTTGTCCAGGTTACCCTGTCAGCTTACAGCTCTACCTCCACCATTAGACTAGGCATTCCCTGAAGGTAGGGACCACATCTCCTTTGTTCACCTTCAGTACCCTAGACAATCCCTCCATGACAGGATTCTCAACAAATGTGGGGAAGAAGAGGCGAGTCTTTTCATTTCACCCCTCTCCACCCTTAGGGCCCAGCAACCCCACTTGCTTGAAGTGCCCGCCATGTTGGTTCATGCCTGTGTTTCAGCCCAAATGTCTTTTTCACTCCTTTTCTCCTGACAATTATTTTTTTCCTCCAAAAGATCTAGCTTAGGTGTTATGCCCTCTGGGAAGCCTACTCTCAGTCCTTGTCAGGTGTCTCCTGTGGGATCCAGCTGTCCCTGGGACTTCCCTCCTCCCAGATAGGGCTGTTTCACTGTATGCTGACTGCATATTTAACTCTCTTTCCAAGTACACTGGAAAGGAATCTGGTTAAATACAGTTAACATCTACATCCCAGGACCTGTGCAGGACCTATAGTATTTCATGAATTAAAAAGAAACAAAGAGAAAAGGTATCTGATTTATTCAGGTTGCTGTGATCTCCCTGAGAAATAAGAGTCAGTATAGACCAACACTGTCCAACAAACAGAACTTTCTGCCATGATGGCATTATTCTGTAGCTGCACTGTCCCCTCATGTGGCTGTCTGAACACTTGAATGACTAATGTGACTGAGAAACTGAGCTTTTAATCTTAATTAACTTAAATTTAAGTTTAGCCATATGTATTTAGTGGCTACTGTACTGGACAGTGCACGTCCAGCTCGACCAGTGGTTCTCAACTGAGGGCAATTTTGCCCCCACAGAGAACATTTGCCAATGTCTGGAGATATTTTTAGTTGTCACAATTGGGGGAGTGCTTCTGATGTCTAGTGGGCAGAAGCCAGGGATGCTGCTAAGCACCCTACCATACACCGGACAGGCCCCACAACACAGAATTATCTGGCCCCAAATGTCAGGTATGAGTTTGAGAAACCGTGGTCTAGACTGTCTAGCACCTGCCTTTTGACAAGGACAGACCCTCTACTGGAGACCAGGAACTGGGATTGGCCAAAAGTCCTGGGCTGCCCCCAGGAAGACAGATGGGTCCAGAGGCCTCAGGGAAGTCCCTAAGCCCTTTATTCCATCAGCCAAACAACAAGCATTTACTGGGCATATGCTTAGCTTGTGCCAGTGCCAGGACAGATCAGAGATGGATCCTATCCTCAGTGAAGGCTGCCTGCTCTCCCTCCTTCCAGGGTCCTTCAAGGATCTTGGCAGGGGGATGGGAGGTTGGTGCAGGGAACACTAAAGGTCCTAGCAGCCATTCATAAGTCCATCTATGTCTCCGGCCCCACACGGTATCAGCCGCTTCCCTCATCCTCATAGGCGATGGCAATCCCTCGTCTTCCACTCACAGCTTCTGTCACTGGCGTCTGACCCAGGCGGGGCTCCAGCCCTTGCCAGCTCCGGGAACTAAGGAATGAGGCTGTAGAGGGAGGGGGCTCAGTCTGAGTGCACTGCATCTGGAGAAAGAGTTCAGCTGAGAGTGGAGACTTGTACATTTACCTGCAGGACTGCTCTCAGCCAGTTCCAGCTGGGGCCGTGGGGTCAGGGCCAAGCTTCCAGAATCATTTGATGACTTCCAGGCAGGTGGGGGTCGGAGATCTCCAGTAATGAGTGACACATCTGGGGTTTCCCACAGCTCTGACTCAGGTGGTGGGAGAGGCACGTGGAAGGGAGAGCCTGAAAGGGAGGAGGAAAGAAAATCCATACTCACCCCCTGACTCCGTGCCCCAGGTTTCCAGCTTAGGCAATGCCCCACTACTCACCAGGCAATAAGTCTGCATAATGTGTGAGGTGGGGAGCCAGGCCTGGAGGTGGCCAGGCAGGGTTGCAGGCAGCTTCCAGCTCACATGGTGCCAGTATAGGCCGGAAGAAGCTACCAGAAAGCTGGGGGGCTAGGGCACCCAGAGGACAGGCTAATAACACAAAGACATCCACCTCAGGGAAGTTGGCAAGCTTGGCGGGGGTGGGCCGCCCCAGGGCCAACACATAGCTACGCTTGCCGGCAGCCTGAGTCAGGTTCCGCAAGTGGGCCAGTGCCTCACGGTGTTGAGCTACACCCAGTGTGCCTGCCAGCAGCCCTACAACGTGGGCATCTCTGGCCCTCTCTACCAGATATCGTCTTCGTGCCCTTAGCCGTCCAGCCCGGGCACCCTCATCCTGAGTCTTCCCTGTATCTGGGCAGCAGGAGAAGAAGGGTCGACCTGGTGCCCACCCCAAAAGCAGCCGACTCAGGTCTGGGTCAAGGTCTGGGTCAGGGCTGGCCTCAGAGCCCCCCACGTAGAAGGCACCATACTCTTCTAGACGCCTCCCTGGGGCAAGAGAGAAGTAGCGCCCAAAACGCTCCAGGGGCTTAGGCTCTGGACTCAGGGAACCCACTGGCAGGGGAAAAGCTGGGCTGGAGACTAGCAGGTCCAGGTACCGTGGGCGCAGGAGAGTAGCCAGAGCCTCTGGAAGAGAAGGAGGTAGAGTTGATGTTGGAGCCTGGCAAAGCAGGAGCTCCCTCATCCCCAGGAGACTAAATATGACCCAGTAGGCTGGGGCCAAGCCCATATCAAGAGTTCTATGGATGTATACGGAAATGGGGAAATTAAGGCAGAAAGCAGTTGGCCCACCCTTTGTGCATACACAGGCAAAACCCCTTACCCAGGGCATGGGCACAGGCCGGCTCACTCAGCAGCACCACAGGCGCTTTGGGGTCTGGGTTCTGGGCCTCAAAGGCCTTGACGCAGAGCTCCAAGGCCACAGAACGTTGACCAAGGACGAAGGCGACGGGCAGTGGGCGGGCTGGGGGGCTTAAGCAGGCAGGGCCAAAATGTATGAGAGCCTGAGCTCCAGCTTGCTCAGCACCCAGCACATCCATGCAGCAGCTGCAGGGGAGATAGCATCAGTGAAACGGGTTTTCTTCTGGAAGCGAGTTGCTGTCATCACTGGAAAATGTGGTCAGTGGATAAAATGGTTTCATTAAAGGAAGACATTGTCAATGAAGGGAGCTAGCATCAGGAGGGGAGTCACTACCATTATCATCAAGGAGAAACACCACCATTGAAGGCAAACACTGTCATAGATGTAAAACCCCATGAGCCCCGGATCCCCAGGCCTGGCCCACCTAAGGCCAAGTTCACACCTGCCGTAGGCTGTGTCCCCCAGAATGAACATCTTTGACCCTGTCGTCTCCTCCAGTCGTGCAGCCACAGCCACAGCATCTCCCAATAGCTGGTCAGGGAACTGCAAGGCAACCTATAAGCATAAACCATGGAGTCAGGGACAGCCTCTCTCCCACCGAGGGCTTCTTTAAAGCAATATTCCAGGAGCTCCCACTCAACCTTCAAAGCCCCCGGTCCCAGAGGTGCACTCTGCCCCACGTAGTAGGTGGAAGGGAGGGATGGTCAACGCGCTGCGGACAGACTGATTCCCCCACCCTCTCGCCCTCACAAAATCCCCCAAGATCCGGATCCTCTGGGCGACCCATCCCCACAGAGGCGAGCCACCCTTCCCTAAGTCTGTCCTTACTCGTTCACACCCCAGGTCGCGGATAAATCCAGCGACTCGCTCCAGCTCGTACACTCGGTCCAGGTCCGGGAGAGGAGTGAGCAGTCCTGGCACCCCCGCCTCTCGCTGCAGCGCCGCCTCGGCAGGGCTGCTAAACATCGACTCCATGAGGCACAGCTTGGGTTGTGGGATGCAGCGGGGACCTCCCTGGGACAGCTTCGGGGTCTGAGTCCTCAGGAGCAGCACTCAGGGGATCAAAATCGCCTTGTGGGGGTAGGGAAATCACAGTCTGCCTTCGGCCGGTGGGCATCCCCTTCAGCCATCTGAACTCCTGTTTCCCCGCTACACGTGGGACTACCGGGGAGGTTACTTCCGGGTTTTAGAGGCGGGGCTGATAGCGATTTTGCCAATCCTAAATCAGCACAGCTCCCGCCCTCCAATCCTCGCCACCAAGCCCCGCACAGAGAACCAATGTTCTGCCTGAGTCCCAGGCCAGCCGGAAGTGCTTGAGGAAGGCGCGGAGCCTTGTGGGCATTGTAGTTCCCCTAGCGGTCCTTTCGGGCGCTGGGAGTCCGGTTCAGCCCACCCGCAGCCATCAGGAGCACCAACTTCACTTAAGCATTTCACGTGCACGCTATCCTCTGGGCAGTATCACTGCATAATTCTTTCATTCATTCTTTATTTTTGACAAGGTCTCGCTATGTTGCTCGGACTGGAGTGCAGTGGCGCAATCTCCACAACCTTCACTTTCTGGGCTGAAGCCATCCTCCCACCTCAGCCTCTTGAGTAGTTGGGGCTACAGGCGCGCGCCACCACATCCAGCTTAGTTTTGTATTTTTTGTAGAGACAGGTTTTTGCCACGTTGCTCAGACTGGTCACCAACTCCTAAACTGAAGCAATCCACTCACCTCAGCCTCCCAAAATGCTGAGATTACAGACTTGAGCCACCGTGTCCGGCTACACTGCATAACTTTAAACTTGGTGCCGACCAGCTCGGGTTTGAATATTGTGCTTGGTCACTTGCTGCTGAGTATCTTAGGAATGTCTCTATGCCCATTTCCTTATCTGAAGAATGGGGAGTTGTGACAATAGTACCTCTTAATAAGATTGTTGTGAGAGTCAAATTAATTTATCTACAAAACTTTACAAAGTAGTTCTTTGGATATCGCATGCAGTGAAAGCATTTGCTATTTAATCAGCCAAATACTGAGCACTTACGGTACATTAGGCACTTCATTTTTAGAGTTTACAGTCTTTGGAGTAAGAAATATCCCGAATGGTACCAAGGACATGACTGGCACATCCTCAGGTCACAGGAGATGCTTTGCACAGCCCCAGCCATCCTCAAACACGCTGCTTCCCATCAATACCCCCAGGGCATACCCCATAGACCTCTACCCTCCAGCTCCTCACATCCCCTCTACCCCCCATGTTTACTCATGTGCAAACACTCTCACATGCACCATCACTTGAAATGCCCTCTTTACATACCTCTGTCAGACAAGGAAACTGAGGTTCAAAGAGACTGCCTGTGTAATAAGACACTAATTCAGTGGCACAATCAGCATCAAACCCAGAACTACTGAACAGGGAAGGGATGGGAGGAATGTGGGAGTAACCAATTCCCCATCACCCACAAGGAGATTGAAAGCTCAAGGATAAAAGTGGGGAGAACTCAGTCCTGCTCTTCAGATCTTACTGAGGAGAAGCCTGGGGTACCTGAGAGGCAGCCTAGGTGAAACTATAGCTGAGGAAACAGAAAGGGAGGCCACACTGCTAAGGGAAAAAAGCAAGAGCAGGTCAGGAGCTGTCCCTGGTGCTGACTGATCCCTGACCATCCTGTGCTGGAGGTCCTGTGTAAGCGGGGAGCAGTGAACATATGGACACTAGGTCCTACTTTCCTCTTTTCTCCTCTGCGGCTGAGATCTTCTCTCCCTCACCTCCCTGTCACCCCCCCACCCCCCCTCCCCACACACACGCAGTCCCTTTCTATAGCCCTCCTCAACCATATGCAAGTTCGATGCTGTATTTAACTCCACACCAGACACCCCTCCTGGAAGTCAAAACCCCACTCCATTTCTTCACTACCAAATGGACCCAGCCCTACCCCACTTGCAGCCCAAAGCCTCAAGTCCTGTACCTAGGAAGCCTGCTATTCCTGTCAAAAGCTTTCTCCATGAAGCCTTCCCTCACTTCCTTACCATTCTCCCAGGTTGGCATGGTAGCTATGGACTAGATCAACCTTTGTTCAGGGCAGAACAATGCAGGACAGAGCTAGGGGCCTAGTAATCAGCGCTGTTGATTAAATAAATGTATGCATACATGCATGTTGGGACTAATTTAATGGGGATGGCGGGGTTGATGACACTAGTGCAACCACCCCACCCCAAGGGCAATGGCAGTATTCTGAAGGGCTCCAGCCTAGGTGTCTTGGCTACAGCAATATCTCTTCCAACCTGGGAGCTAGAGGGTGTTCCTACTATTCCCTCAGGCCTGGTCCAAGCATCCTCCCATCCTTCCCCCAGGCCTTCTGGACCCAGGCTTTCAGTTAGGTGGTGGTGGCAGCAGAAAGGAGGCAGAGACAGCATGAGGGTCCAGGTTTACTCTTTGGGGATAGGGAAGGGTGAAGAGAAGGGGTGGGTGGGATGGGGGCACCCCTCAGTAGTCAGCTGTGTAATCTGTGCCATGGAGACCCCGGCACAGCAGTGTGAACTCCTTCACCATCTCCTTCACCCGCCTCTTGTTCACTCGCTCGCTGAAGGAGAAAAGGGAGAGCAGGTTAGCACCAGCCACCACCACTGCCCCCTCTCTGCCTGAGCCCAGGCCCACCCCAGCTCTGCTCACCGAAGGATCTGCTGGCTGAAGGTATCCTTCTGTTCAGGGCTGAGGCGGGCAGAGGGAAAACCAGGTGGCTGCAGGGCCTCCTTGATCCACATGCTCAGGAGGCTGAAGCAGTGCTTGTTCAGGGCGAACAGGATGTCGGCAAAGCAGTCCATGAGGCTGCGGGAGGCCTGGCCCCCAATGGCCTGAGGGAGAGGGGTTCTCAGCACACCAGGGTGTTGCCCCTTCTGCAGCAAGAATGCCTAACTGCCCCAGGCCCTCTGGACAGTTCCTAAGCCAAACCACATCACGGTGAGCGCTGCTTTTTGAGAGCCAGTTGATCCCCACAGCAATCCTAACAACTTTCAGCCATTTAATTGAAAAAGAAACAGAATCTGAGAGCTTAGGGAACCAAAGGCTCAAGCCTCCCAGAAGGCCAGCTGCCTCAGCAGTGCGGGGCCCTCACTCCCATCAAACCCCCCTTTGCTCCATCTCACCTCCAGCACTGCTATGAGCAGCATACGACCGTCTTCCTGTACCACCTTTCCCACAGACTCTACTTCCCCACACCGAGGCAGCAGCTCTGTCTGCAGAGGATGGAGAGGCCCATCAGCCCAGCTCCTTCCCAGCTCTCCCTGAGGACAAGACCTGTACACCCCAGCCCTACTGTCTGGAGTCCTGGGCAGGGCAGGGCATTGGGGTGGCAGTGGGTCAGGGTTCAGCATGGGACTCACAAAGAAGCCACAGGAGGCCTTGACAGTTGGTGCCTCAGGGAACTTGAGGGCCAGCACAGCTGTGGGACAGGCAGAGGCAGATCAGTTTAAGGATCCTCCTAGGGGAGCCCCAGGCCCACCCGTCCATCTCGCCCCACTTACCACACTGGAACACAGCTTTGACATCCAATCGTTCACACAGGAACAAATCTGGCTTCCGCTTCAGAGCCTGCAGGAGGTGGAGCTGGTAAGCCCAGCCCCAGCCAGCTCCAAGGACCATCCCCCCACTCACCTGCCACCCTAGCCCCCAACTTCACACCTCACAGGTAAAGGCTGCCAAAACCAGCTACTCAGCCATCTCTGGGGGACCCGGACCACCTCAGAGTTCAGTAGGTCAGGTGAGGACAGCTCAAGGGATGCTATGTACATGTATGTGTACATGAATGCACGGGTGTATGTGAGAGAGGTTGGGGGTGGGGATAATGCAGAAAGTTTGGGTTCCAGACACCTTTCCCTCTTCCCTCCATCAGGGCCAGATGTCTCGCAGGCTCTAGGTTGCCAGCAGTGACTTCATGTTGATTCACAGAGGGAGTTAAGCACCCCAGGTTTGTGAATAGGGCAGCAGGAAGAAGAGATGGCAGCCAGACAGGGAGCCCTTAGCCCAACAGCCCTCCTCCCATGTCCCTCCTGTATTCCTGAGGCACCCTCTAGCTCCTGCTCAAGAAGAGGAAAAGTACAGCAGGAGCCTTGGAGCCTTGGCCCCATCTTTCACCCAGGGTACCCTGTGTCCAGGCCCTCTTCGGCCATACACCCACCAAGGAGTCAGTGCTGCTGTGGGTGAGGGGGAAGAGATGAAGTGAAGGGGACAGATGGCCTGCCCCGAGTGGTACCAGGACATGACTGGCACATCCTCAGGTCACAGGAGATGCTCTGCACAGCTCCAGCCATCCTCAAACACTGCTGCTCCCCAGCAATGCCCCCAGTGCATACCACGTAGACCTCTACCCTCCAGCCCCTCACATCCCCTCTACCCCATGTTTACTCATGTGCAAACACCCCCACATGCACCATCACTTGAAATGCCCTCCTTACATACCTCTGTCACACCCTTAACATACACACGCTCTCCCCATCTGGAACACACCCTCATTACACAGTCACACATCACACCTGCACATCCCCAAACCATGTCCACACACCTACACCCTCAGCCTTGCCACAGTCCCCCTGTGCACTCTCCCAACATACCCATCCACAAACACACATTCAGACACCCTCCCCATCAAAGATACACCCTTGAAAACACCCATACACATATCCATCCAGGCCCAGAACACTCCCTGTTCTTCCCTCCTCCCAACCTCCCCCTCCCCCAGAAACTAGACTTGTAAGTTCCAGGAGAGCAAGAACTGTGCCTGCTTTTGCTCACCATTATATCCTCAGTACCTAGCAAAGTAGAGCATGTATCACACACTCAATAAGTATCTGTGGAATGATTAAGCAAAGAAACACTCCATTTACCCCAACTCACAGGTTAGGGGGTCTGCATGCTAGGAACCCCTAACACACAGAAGCCCCCATCACTAACTCCATGCCCCCACAGCCCAACATGCATCTCCAAACCATACTCTGATACAGACATACCAATGACTCAACATACACTCCTATCCTCCATAATACACACTCCCACAACCCAGCACACACACACCTCCAACCCATGTCCACGCTCTAAATCCATCAAGGCCTAACACATCAACAAACAACACAAAACACACAACACATCAACATATAGCATACATCAAGGCACACATTCACTCCAGCACCCAACACAATACACATACTACTTACAGGTGATTTCTGTTCCCTTCCCAAACCAAACTCAAAACATACAAAATAAGGTCTCACACACTGAAACACATACAAAACGCAAACACATCCTAACGTGGAGCCTGCACTCCACCTCTCAGCAGCAGCTCAACCTCTCCAACAGCCCAACTCTGGGCTCCACCGTGCACATTCCTCTTCAGCCCCTCGCTTTGGAGCTGCTCCCAGCCTACCTCTCAGGAGCAGGCTGGGGACACTGAGGCAGGCAGTTCCCGGCAGGAGCACGGGGACAGTGAACCCCAGGCCCTTCAACTCCAGCCCTACCTGTGAACTTCTTGGGCAACAAGAAGCTGATGGGCGCAGTCACCACCCCCTCCCTTTCCCATTCCCCACCCGAGGCCAGCCCAGCTCCCTCCCTTCGGGATCAGCCTCTCCCTGGTCTTTGTAGAAGACTGAGCTAGTTGAGGCATAGGGGCACTAAAGGAGGATGTTGGGTTGTCAACTTCCACGGAAACAGATGAAGAAACTCTATTCAACTGAACAGAAAAAAAAATTTGTCAACAGAAAGCTAAAAATAGGCTTAAATTGAATTTCAACATAAGAGAAAGAGAAAGAGAGAGAACAGAACGTGAATGAATAAAACTAAAACACACCTGTGCCAGGAGTTGCATAAATGAATCAACAATATCAGGATGATCCCTGGGCCCTAAAATATAATAAAGATGGAACTTAAGAAAAAATTATACAAACAGCAACTCAACCTCATATAGTTATGTGGGACTGAGAGCCTGCAGGGAGACAGCGTGGGGGCACATGAGCAGCAGGAAGCAAGATAAAGAAACAAAACATACAAAAACCATGAACTGGGAGAAGCCCAACAGAAAGAGACGGCAAAGTGAAGGACGGGCCTGCCCCAGCTCCCTCCAAGGGGCCTTCCGCCTACTCCCCACTCCTCCTCGGGCCATCCCCTCGTGTTCCCTTGGTACTTGAGCAATTCTGGACTCCACATAGCTGAAGAAATGGCCACCACACTTACTGTGGCCTCTGGCAGGTTGGGGTAGCCCTACACCGCTCCTAGCACATACCTCCCAGCAGCCAGTTATTGAAGAGGAGAGCCGGGATGGCAGGTGGGGGTGGGGGGGGTCAGTCCTTGGTATCTCTTTTTTGTGGTTTATCTGAGGGCCCTAGAAAGGCCAGGGCATCAGAGCCTGAGTAAGTGCCACCTCACTTCAATGGCCTTAGGGCTCTTGATCTGGCAAAGGAAAATAATCTATTTGGTCCACTTAAACCAGAAGACTCTTGCTTAGGTATGGCAGTGCCCAGCATGCTCTGGAGATGGCCTGGCAAGTCACTGGCAGGGAACCAGAGGAGGAAACAGCATCATAAGGCCAAAAACAAGAGCCCCACCCCAGCAAAGCTCCTCCACATGGACACAGACTCAGCAGAGAGCCAAGCTCAGGGCTGAGGACTAGTTCCCATCATCTGGTCATGCCAAGAAATAGGGAAAGCAGTCAACGTGTCATCCCATGGTCCAGTGGGAAGGCAGAGCCCGAGGAAGGAATGGCTAAGATTGGGATGGCGTAACAGGTATGGGAGCCATCCTGTCCAGCGAGACAACCAACAAGCCCAACAAATATGATGTTGGACACTTCTGCCTCCAGTTCTGATGATTCCTGAGGCAAGAATATGGCATGCACCTGGAGCTCCTACCCAGGCTTCTCCACTCTGAGGAGGATGTGGTGCAAAACCATCTGCCTAAGACACCACTAAGTAGCTGTGTGATCTTGCGCAAGCCACAAATGCTCAGTTTCCCCATCTGTAAAGCAGATAATCTCTGCCCTGCTTCCTTCTCTAGGCTATGAAGAGTCACCAGTAAATAAAGCCTGTTCCTTTGGTATCTGAACTCTGAGTTATTTAAGTCCTAGAAAGTGAGGCCCAATGTACACCCTGCAGGTTTGATATTCAGCAGCCACCCTGTTAGAGGTGGGCCAGACAGTGAGAAGGTTCCAAGGGCAGGGAGCCTTCCCTCTCCTTTACTTAACAGCGTCTGTGGCCTGCTGTATTCTGGCCTCATTCTGGGCACTGGGGATGCAGAGAGAAGAAACTCAACCCTACCCTTGAGGGGCTTAGTCTAGTAAGAGAGACAGACATGAAAGCTGATTATTGTGTGTGATCGGTGCTGTTTCAGCAGTGTGTACGGGATGCAGTTTCAGTACAGTTAGAAGCACCCAATTCTGCCTCAGAAAAATTACTTTGAGAAGTGATGCAGTCTTCCTCTTTTGTAAGGCATGAAGGAGTGAGAGTTCACCCAGTAAAGGGCATAGGACATTCCAGTCAGAGGAGCAAGGCACAGGGATCAAATGGGACACAGTAAGGAAGAGGCAGTGTGGCTGGAATGTTGGAGTCATGAGGACATCAGCAGGAGAGGACAGGAGAGGCATGACAGAGCCTTGTCACGTGGGTGGGAATGGAACAATAAGCTGAGGGCAATGGGAACAATGAAAGGGTTTTAAGCCTGGGAAGACAAATGCTCAGATTTGTGTTTTCATGAAGATTATAGCTGCAGTGTGCAGAACAGATTGGAGAGAAGGGGAGATGTCAAGAAAACCCACTAGATGGTTGCTGATAATCCAGGTGAGACCCTAAACTGAGGCAGTGGCCACAGAGGTGGGTAGAAGTGGACCGACCGAGAGAGAATCAGGAGCCAGGATCAATGGGGCTTGTCCCAGATTGGGTACAGGGAGTGGGAGAGGTGGAGTTGAGGATGACCACACCAGGTTTCTGGTTCAGTTTTCTCCCCAGTTTGGACCTACTCCATGGCCCACAGAAACAGAGGCCAGGATCATGAGACCAAGCACTGAGGATATGAGCTGCAAGTACTCTGGGCACCAACCGAGACCCCTGGGGAGCCTCAAACCCGTGACCACGAATCCAGGCAAGGCTCATGAGGCTAGCTGAGCAGTGTTGTTTTTTTTTGTTTGTTTTTGTTTCTCCAAATTGGAAGCCTGGATTAGACAACACGAGAAGCCTGAATGAAGCCCCTGCTCCCAACTCTCTCAGGCAAAGGGCCACAGTGAATGGAGGGCTAGGACCACAGCCAAAGGTACTCGACTTCAGGCCTAGAAAGGACTAAGCCTTGATGCGGGGAAAGGAACAAGCGGTCTCTGAGTACTTCACTGTGCAAAAGCCCCCGAGCCAGGGGCCCAGAAGATGTGACTTTAACACCTGTAAACACTCATTTCAAGTATATGGTATCTCCGTTTCACAGATATGGAAATGAAGGCCCAGCAAAGGTAAGTGACTTGCCCAAGGACACACAACTAGTTGGTGGTGATGAACTTAGAATCTAGGTCTAGTTGACTTCAAAAGCCCGTGCTCTTTCCACTTTTCGTTATATCCCAAAGTAAAGGAGCCAGCCCAGTGCCCCAAGTCCCTCAGAGCCTCTGCCCACCTCCCACCCCCACCTCCTTCTTCCATATCCAGACTGGCCCTGAGCCCAGCAGGCCAGCAGAAGACATCATTCACCCTCTTATCCACTTCAACCTAAGGTTTCAACTATTTGTAAGGTGCTGTGCTTGATCTCACAGGTTTCCCATCAAGTCCCACGTGTGACTCGGGACAGAGAAGAACAGAGTGGGCAGCTTTGGCTCCCCATTTGGGGAAGCAGAGGCAGTGGCAGTGGCAGCAGCAGCAGAGACCCTGGTCAGGACCTACCTTGCTGGAAGAGAGTGAGTGTGACGGAGGTGACGAGCAGGAAGAGGGCCTCAATTGGGGGAAAGTGGGCAGGCTCATGAGCAAAGATGTGGACCAGCTACAAGAAAGCAGGGAATGCTGGTCAGCTGAGACCCAGTCTCACCAGGATAGAGCAATATCCCTGGAATGCAAGTGGGGACCCCAGCCACAGCAGCCATCTGACCCACCCCCACCCAGGGTCAGGAGCTCTGCCCCAACCAGAAGGCCCACCTGTCGAGTGAGGTCAAGAGCAGAGGCCTGGGGGATGGTGCTGTACATCCGACCCAGCATCTCACACAGCTGTGGCACCATGGGGGCAAAGTCATCCAGCAGCGTCTTAACAGACTTCTCAAAGATAGCGCACACCGCCTTGGGAAGAAAACAAAGGGGCCCTGGTCAGCAGGTCATGACTGGCTGGAACAGCGCTGAAGCCCTGCACAGAGGGGGCCTAAAATCGGGCCCTTACCTATAAGCCTTGCCTGGCCCTGCAAACAAAAGAACGTAAGCAAGTCTGACCCTTACCCTGAAAGGCAGGGGCAAAGGCCCTTCACTGAGGGGCAAAGGATGTAACTGTAGAACTTAACTTCTGCTACTTACATCTCTACCATTTCCTCTCAGGGAGCAGCAACAGCAACAAAAACCTGAATTGAAAAGGGACCAAAGGCAGGTCTCTGGTGCTAAAACAGATGCCTGAGTGTCACTCCACCCTAATATTACAGTTCTTGCGTTAAGCACTTCTCATATTGGGGAGTTCTAAATGTCTTCCCAAAAGATTCCTTATCTCTATGGGGCAGGATTCACCTTCCTTGTTTCTCCAAACCATTGTAAGCTGACGTGTGGCAGTAACATCTTACCCTGCTACACCTCTGAGCAGTCACTGTGGGAGCAGAGGACAAGGGTCAGGGCTCACCTCCACAACCTGGGCATCATTCAACCATTTGCTCAGCACCTTCTGGATAAGCTGGAAGACCTGCTGCAGCACCACCACCACCTGAAGACACAGGAAGAAGTGAAGTGCTTCTGCTATTGATCACTGTGACCCACTTGAGAAGGACTTGGTAGCAGGGAGGAGGGGAGCAGTTCAAACCTATTACCCCAGAATGCACACTGAAGACCCAGTGCATGGGTCACCTAGGGGAAGAAGTGGTTTGCTGAACTCTCTCATGAATGAAAAAGGAGGATATCCTGAATTCTAGGGATCATCTCAAAGGAAGCCTCAAACTGCAAAGCAGAGATATCACAAGTGCTTCATAAGGTTACAAAAACTTTGTAGACTTAAAAAAAAAAAAATCACCCCCTATCACTGCTCTGTAAAACCAAGGCTATGGACTAGCCTCTGAAGAAGAGCAGATGTTATCTCCTCCAAATAGGCTTGAGGTAGGGAGCCCCAAGGAATGCACAGATGCAGCCTTAAGCTGCTCTGCCAGCTTACGGAGGAGTAGAGAGCAGACTGAGGTCCTGGGAGGTGAGGAAAGGCAGGATGATGACTACCATGTAAAGAAGCAGCTCTGTGGGATGACAGTGGCCCAGGTGTGGTCTAAAGCCAAGAGGCTAACTGAAACTGGGTTGGGGAGTTAAGCAAAGAGGCCACGATGCCCATGGCTTCCTTTTCTCCTGGAGAAATCCTGGAGGGAGTTCTGGGAATAGTAACCAAAGCAGTCTTTGTAAAGAACTTTACAATATGCAAACTACCTTCACTTAAGACCACATCTGCTATCCAGCACAGTTCTATGAATTGAGTAAGCCAGACATTTCAATGTTCTCAGTTTTTAATGGGAAGCTGAGGCTTGCCCCAGATCAAGCAGCTTCTAAGTGGTCACCCCAAAACCTGTGCCCAAGCTTATCACAAGACTTATCACACTGCTTTGTGACAATCTGAGCAACTTGAATTTCCTCTGCACTGGGAGCAACTTGAAGGCCAGAACTACTACATGTGGAGGATGTAATGAGCATCCTTAGTGCTCACAGGGGACAGTAAATGTTGAAGTAGAAGGCCCTACAGAGCTGGAGGTTGAACAGGGGCCCATAATAACATCACTTAAGGGTTGAAGGATATAACGTCAATGTCCCTCATGAGGCTGAGGAATCTCAATGACATCACCCTAATTGGGCTGGGGACAAGGACAACATCACACACAGAGTTGAGTGAGATAATGACATTGCTACCTACAGAGTGAGGCAATTATAGGTCATTCATGGAGTCAGAGGACCAAATATATCACCCCCACGGGGCAGGGAGAACAATGACAACATTACCCACAGAATTGAAGAGTGACAATGACATTCCCACAGGTGGGGGTGGGGGGATGGCAAAGACAATGTCACCCACGGGGTTGGGTCCCTGTGGCACTGGCAGCTTCCGAAGCTCAGGGCCTTCGTGATCATCCTCATGATGACTGATGTCCAATGTGGTGAAGAGGTTGGAGAGAAGCCCCAAGATGTGAACAATGGCCAGCTTGTTGGAGGGATTGGGCTGCAGGGAGAAGCAAACCAAGCTCCAGATCTCCTAGCCCCAGTTTGGTCCCCAGATCACTGAGCCCCAGCTCTAAGGGCCAGCTCCACCTTCACCCCTCATCAGCCACAGCGTACCAGTACTGCTCCCGGCCCCCAGAGCTCACTCACTATCTCCTCTGCCAGCTTCTCCAGTTGCTGGATATAGGGTGAGATAAGCGAGTGCAGGTTCTTAAGAATCTCCTCCACTTGAAGAGCTGACAGCAGGAAGCCCAGCGCCTGCATCAGCCACATGCACTGGCTTGTCTGTGGGGCAGAACATGGATGGTCAGTCCTGGCCACATCTAGTTGTGGGGTAAGAAGGAAAACGGGCCTCTTGGGAGAAGAAAAACACAGAGAATAAGGGGTAAGAGGAAGGGGAAGGCCAAAAAACAGGATTTCAGGGATAAGAGATTCCCACAAGACCCCCAAGGAGACCCCTAGAAACTTCTGAGCCGCACCTTGTGGATCTGTTTCATCAGCACATCCTGCGGGGGAGAAAGAAGGAATGTAGTATCAGCACAGTGCAGAGTGTGCTCTGAAGCTCAGTACCATCCAGGGCCCCTGCATACCTGGGACACGGCCACAATGTTGGCAGCATAGGGAGGCAGGTCATACTTGCACTCTCGGCAGATCTTCTTGAGGGTAGACACAGAAGAGACAGAGAGCTCAGGATTGCCTAGGGCATGCAGTACCAGGGGCAGAACACTGTTGATCATGACGGGGTGGTCAGCCAGCCATTCAGACAGAGCTCCTGGAGGAAGGAGGGAGACAGAAGGATCTTTGAGGCAGGCCAGACTGGCTTTGTACCATGTCTCTGAGGCAAGCAGAGTTCCTGGCAGGGTCAAGTTGCAGCCCTAGCACAGAGCACTGCTCCATTCAGAGGACATATGCATGTGCATGCTCAAACATGAGCCTTACAGCTGAGAAGCAGGGAGAGGTTACTCAACAGAAGCCCAGTACTGCTGTTTCACTGACAGTAAACTAGCCTCACTGAATTCAGCTCAGTGTGCCATCAGATGGACCCCCTAGACCTGCCAGGACAGTCAGTTTGTTACAACACTGATTGTGTGTAGGCACATGGCTCTCCCATTCTGGATAGAATCCAGCATGCTGGCTGTGGCCGGGGTGGGGTGCTGTGGCTCTGGGAATATGGTCATGGGTGTGTGCCAGGTCTCACCAATGGTGAACATGACAGTGTCTGCCAGCTGCACGTTGCTGATGCTGATCCGTGGGATGAGGCCAATGAGCCCAGGCACCACATCAGAATAGTTGACGTCAATGGTCTCTGCGATGGATTGGAAGCCGTAGAGGAGGGCCTCTGTGTGCTGGGGAAAGAGGGTGCCACTGGCTTGGATGAGGAGGAGGGTGTGACAGGTCTGGGAGGGCTGAGGGAATCAGGCTTGGGAGGTACCTGCCAGGAGTAGGGCTCCTCTGAGCTGGTGAGCAAACGACCCAGCTTGTCATAGAGGTTGCTGAGCAGCTCGGCCCCCAACATCTCATAGACATACATGAGCGTGTCTGAGATGTCCACCCTGAGAAGCAGATGAAGGCCTTTTATACTGCCTGGATCCTGACCCTGGATCCTGCCCCCAAGCCCAGGAGCCTACCCCAGTACCCCCACAACTCTGCAACAATGCCTAGAAAACAGAGAAAGGAGCCCCAAAATTCAGAAAGCCTGGCCTTGGGCCCCTTCCCTCATTGCCTTCATTATTTCTGGACTCCATTTTAGAGGAGCTGGCCTGCTACCATCACCTGTAAATTCGGAACTGCTCCTTCTCGTCTGAGGACCAGAATCCATATTCCTCATCAGAAGGGAACTGGGCCTTGTGCAGAAGCACATCCACCAGCTGGAAGTAGACTGGCCGGTACACCTGCTGGTATACAGCCTGCTTCTCTGCCTCAAAGGATAGAATATCATCCTGAGAGAGCCAGGGAAGACAATTAGCCACCTCACCAGCAGCCATAGAAGCCCATGATCCACCTTCTTCCACCACAGCCCAGTCCTACTGGAGGTCACACAGACACACCTGCAGCGTGTACCAGAAGGTGAGGGTTAGGGAGCTGGTGGTCTCATTGACAGGATAGTGGCCAGGGATGCCTGTGCAGAACATAATCATGTTGACAAGTGCCAGGAAACTCTGCCAGTGCTCTACTTGGTCCAGCAAGGCCCTGGGGAGGAGGAGACACAGTCAGGTCATTCTACCTCTCCAGGGACTTCCATAACCCCACCTCTTAGAGGGCCCTACTATCCCACCCCCAGCTGCTCCACCCCTTACCGGGAGTGGTTCTCGCCCAGGGCCACAGCGATGCGACAGATGCCATGGGAGGTCTCCATGTCCCCGTTCTGCACTGCCTGCCGCAGTTGTTCCTGCAGACCCAGCACCAGCGGGATGAGCTTCAGGAGCGTGTTCACGTACCTAGAGGCATGAGGTAAGAAAATCCATCAGAGCTCTCTGCTCACCCCCACACTGGCTTTAAGAGAAAGGCATAATCTCCTTGTCTTCCTTCAAAGCTCCCCTCCCCTTATTAAATCCTAAGCAAAACAAGGGTCAGGGTCTACATGGCAGATTTGATGTTCCCTATGTTGGGAAGAACCTTAGGTCAGAGCCCCCAGAACTCTGAGAGGGAAGTATGAGAAGGCTGGTATTACGGGTTGAATTGTGTTCTCCAGGTGGACTGCGAGCTGATTCCAGAATGGGTGAAGATTTTGTTTTTTGAGATGGGGTTTTGCTATGTTACCCAGGCTGGTCTCGAACTCCTGAGCTCAAGAGACTCGGTCTCCTGCTCAGCCTCTGGAGTAGCTGGGATTACAGGTGTGAGCCACCACGTCCAGCTAGGTTACAACTTCTGGGGAGGTTGAGATGAAGTGAATATAGTTTGCATGTGGTGATAACATGAAGTTTGGGGCGCCAGAGGGCAGACTCGCATGGGTCAAATTATGTCCCCACAAAAAAGATACGTTTTTTGATAAATCCTAATCCCCAGTACCTCAAAATGTGGCCTTATTTGGAAATAAGATAATTGCAGATGAGGTTATACTGGAGTAGGATGGACCTGAACTCCAATATGACTGGTGTTCTTATAAGAAGACATCCATGTGAAGACAGAGACATACAGGGAGAATGCCACATGAGGACTAAAGTAGAGAGTGGAGTGATGCAGCTGGAAGCCAGAGAACACTGAAGACTGCCAGCAAACCACAGAGCTAGCAAGAGGCAAGGACGGAGTCTCCTACAGGTTTCAGAAGGAGCTCAGCCTTGCCAACACCTTGATTTCAGACTTCTAGCCTCCACAATTGTGAGACAATGAATTTGTTTGGTTTTAAAGCCACCTAGTTTGTGGTACTTTGTTATGGTAGCCCTAGGAAACTGATACAGTCTGGCAGGGGTGATTGAACAAGAGTGGGAGACAGAAGAGTAAACACAGGCTCAGAAGCCCTGATTAAAAAAAAAAAAAAAAAAAGATTTTGGAAGGCAGCAACAGCTCATGAGAGCATCAACCCCTGCCATCCACTCTACTCTCTACCACCAAATCCCAACTCTTGAGGAGTCTGGTGGCAGCACGGAGGGAGAGAAGTAGATAATGAACTCAGAGCTAAGAGGCCAAACAGACAGGATTTGACGACTGACTGGATATGAGGAAGGCGAAGAATAAAGGCAACTCTCAGGTCACTGGCTAAACAACTAAATAGATGGTGGAGCTATTTACTGAGACCTGTGGGGTGAGGAATGGGGAATAGCAACACCTTTAATGGGAGGTGGAAGGTGATAAGCTCAGTCTTAGATAAGTTGATTCACAGACACCTGATAGGTTATGCAGGTAGAAGCATCTAGAAAGAGTTGGATATAAAACCCTGAAACCCAGCATAGAGGTTAGAGCAAAAGCCATAGATTTGAGAGTCATCAGCTAACAGCTGGTAATTGAAGCTACGGGAGTAGATGAAAATTGCCCAGGGAGAATGTGTTGAATGAGAAAAAAAAATAAGAGGGTCCAGATCAGAGCCCTGAAACACAACGATCTCTAAAGGAGAAGGATAGATAGCCCAGTATACGAAGGGGACTGAGAGAAGCCTGGCTCAGCCCACTGGATCCCTCTTCAGCACCTTGGTCTGTGGAGATGAGACTAAGCAGAGGAAGCCACGCTCTAACAGTAGGGATCAGGTGCTTGGGACCCCTCTGTTGTCAATCATAATGTCACCATAGCAATCTATTTTAGGGAGTGGGGGACTGAGGATCCCAGAAGGAGTTCTATCTGGACTTGCCCCAAGCAGGTTGCTAGGCAGTAGCCTCATATCCTTGGTGGGAGGATGAGAATGACAAAAAGAGGCAACCAGCCCAGGGACATCGGCCTCCTTCTCCACATCCCCATTCTGGTAGGAAAAGTCATCCATGCCAGGATATCCCCAGCCCAGAGACAGCCCCAGGGGGTGCTGCCTGGAGACGGCTGGGATAGCTTCAGTCTCCTGACCCTGACACGGGCTGCACCACCAGACAATGGGCATTTTCAGGCCAGACTCTGGCACAAAGACAAGAGGCAGGGCCAAGGCTATGGCCCACAAGCTCCTCAGCAACTGAGATGGGTGCAGGAGGTAGCGCTCTACCCCCATAGCATCTCCACTGTATTCTAAGGCTCCTTCCTCCACCTGCCAAAGTTTATGCAGACGGCAGATACTCAGTGAAGGTTCTTAATGTGTCTCATCTGAGCCTCATAATAGAACAAATCAAGGATAATACAGCCTCAAAGGGCTCAGAGTATCATATCACTCAAGGTCATACAACTTAGAAGCAGAATCCAGGTTGAAACTTCCCCTTAAACTGCTACAGGTCTGCTTTTCTTTCAGGGCCCAACCAGGATTTCCCCAAAGGATCTATGTGCATCTCAGCCCATATCTCCAGTGCTAACTGATGGGAGCCCCCAACAGCCTGCCTAATTCACTTTCCCTCCCTCCCTAACTCCCAAGGAAAAGCTTTTCCAGCATTAAAAACATATTTCTGGAAAAAAAATACATTTCAAAGCAGAGAGCCAGGAAGCAGCAGCAGCTGTGGAGGAGCAAGAAAAGGGTGACTTGAGTGCAAGCTTAGCTAAGGGGAGGGCCAATGTCAGGACACCTGGGGAAGGCGTGCCTGGATGACCCAGGAGTCAAAGCCACTGAAGGTGACTTTCACAAGCCAAAGCTGGGAAACTAGACTGGGTAGAGCAAGGACCAGGCTCGGATTCTGGGTTGGATGCAGCTCACCCATGGGAAGAAGTTCCTGCATAGATTTCCTACCACCTGAGCACCTGTGTCTGCGACCTGTGAGTGGACAGAAAAACAAGTCTGAGGTCCCAGAGGTTTCTAGGTTTGGGGGAAGGAGACAGGGAGGATGTCTTTACGACCACAGCTGAGGCTGGGTTCAAGAGGCCTGGCTCCAATCGGTCAGTTCAAGTAGCTGAGGCAGGGCTGCTGGGACTCCTCCGCTGCTGCTCACACGGAGCTCAGCCCAGACCTGCAATTAGAGCTTCACTTCAGGAGCAGAGCTGAGAAAATGGGGAGAGTTGCTAAGCAACCAAGGGGCTGCAGCCAATGGGCGCCAAGGAGGCTGTGGGTTACCTCACTGGCTCCTTGCTCGCTCATTCGTTCAGAGGAGAAGGGGCATCAATTACCTGCCAAAGCCCTTGAGACTGGCTGGGCGGGTAAACTTGGGTGTATCCAAGGACACCTCACATCACCCACACACTTGCCCTGATCTGTTTCCCTTAGTCACCAACTGTCGGAGCCCACCCAGCACTTGAGCTTCAGGCTGCCAAGAGAGGCCTTGATCTGGGACTAGGTATCCACCTTAAGCTGGAAAGCCTGGGAAGCCGGGGGATAGATATCATAATAACTGCCAACACAATAATGAAACCAAATACTGGCAACTGCTGTTTACGGAGTACATAGGAACCATGCTAAAAGCTTCACCTTCTCTTATTTAATCCTCATACCGAAACAATCTTTTATTTTTTAAAATCAACCCCAATGTTTAAAAGTTTTAAAAGGCAGTCGTTAAGCACATTATCTATGTGTGTATGTGTGCGTGTGTGTGTGCATATACATATATATACACATACATACACACACACACACACATATATATGAAACCAACTCCTTTTCAAATTTAGCCACTGAACAATTAGGCCCACTTTCTATCGCATGATTCCGGTTCTACTTCTTATGACCAATTCTAAAAGTAAACGGCCTTAATCCATTTAATAGTAACTATGTTTCTCTTTTAAAAAATAAACAGTTGGCCAGGCATGGTGGCTCATGCCTGTAATCCCAGTACTTTGGGAGGCCGAGGCAGGTGTATTACCTGAGGTCAGGAGTTCAAGACCAGCCTGGCCAACATGGCAAAAACCCGTTTCTACTAAAAATGCAAAAATTAGCCAGGTGTGGTGATGCACGCCTGTAATCCCAGCTACTCTGGAGGCTGAGGCAAGAGAATCGCTTGAACCTGGGAGGCGGAGGCTGCAGTGAGCCGAGATTGTGCCACTGCACACCAGCCTGGGCAACATAGTGAGACTCTGTCTCAAAATAAATAAATAAATAAATAAACAGTTACCATTAACCATTAACAGTTACCATTACCATCACATAAAGTATAAACGAAGAACATACACACACAGTTCCCATTTTAAAACATGTAAGGTATGAATAACCCAAACGTACAAATGCATGCTGCTGACCATCCCAACCCCAGCAGAGACCACAAAAGAACTCCCATTACTCAAGGAGTCAAAATACTCTTTACCGAACACCAGGGGCAGGACTTATGCACATTATCCTATTTAAACCTTTACAACTCTGTGGGGTTGATATGATCATCCCCATTTTATTGATGAGGAAACTGAGGCTTAGGAATGGTTTATCCAAGATTTCAGATCTAATAAGTGAACATTCTGGGATTCAAATTTAGATGTGACTAATGCCAAGGCTTGAGTCGTTAGCCACTGTCCATGAAATCTCTTTCAATGGTTTTCCCTTCCAATTCTGCCAAGGGTCCCAAAGCCCCATCTCTGAAATGTCAGTGTCAGGGCCTCCAAACTCACTTTTTCTAATCCAGCTCATACCAAAAGTCTCAGTAGGCCATTTTCTCTGCTTAAAATCCTTTAATATCTTTATATCATCTTCAGGATGAAGATCACAATCTTAAACTTGGCCAAGGTCCTGCATGATCTGGGCCCAGGTCTCCTATAACTCTGGCCCTTAAATCCTGCTGTCTAATCACACCTAATGATTTACAGATCACCAGGCCCTCTGGGCTTTCACTCTTCCCTTGCTTGGGCTCTTCCATCTGTCTGGAATGTCCTCCCTATCCATCACTTCCATCTGGCTAACTCTTACACAGCTGGGTTGTCACTTCCTCTGGGAATCCTTTCATAGCCCTCAGACTCAGTGAAAGCCTCCTCTGGGTTCTTGAAGGCCCCTGCATTCTCCATCAGAGGATTCATCATGTTGATTGTACTTGCCATTCATGTGTCCACTAGACTGTGAGCTCCGGAGAGACTGAAGCTAAAGGATTTGTCTCTGTGCTCCCAGAGCTCAGCACAAGGCCCAAAACAGGACATGCTCAATGAACATTTGCAAAACAAACACTTCACTACACTCACTTCTTTAGGGCCCTTGAATATATCATGATGCTGCCCACAAGTCTTTGCAGCTGCTGTGGTTCCTAAAGCCTAGAACACTCCACCCTCCTCCCCCAATCCCTTCCATCCCCACCCCTCCTAACTCAGGCAACTCCTACTTTCCTCCATTCAAAAAACATCAGATGCTACCATGTGCCAAGCACAATGTGACAAAGTAAAATGACAGAGTCCCTGTCCTCACAGAGGTGAGAGAAATCATGTTATGGGCTAAGAAGGAAAAATACTGGGAGCTCTGAGGTAACATAAGAGAGAAGATCAAACTTAGCCTTAAGAATCCATTGAGGACTTCCCTATGCTTAAGCTGAGGCAAGGTGTCAAGTACATGTGATGAGCCAGAGGCTGAAAGGAACATGGGACATTCAAGGAATTAAAGAAACTGTGTGAGAGTGTAGAGAGCAAGGAGAGTAGCATGAGATGAGGCCGGTGATGCCACACTGTGCAGCACCTTTATGAGTCACATTAAGGATTCCGAGCTTTAACCTAAGAGCACTGAGACGCCACTGAAGGCTTCTGATCAGAAAGATTAGATCCCCATTTTCAAAAGATCACTCTGGCTGCTGGGACAATGAAGGGTATAAGAGTGAGGACAAGCTCTACAGTAATCTGGGGAGAGAGACGATGACAGCTTGGACTAAGGTGGTAGCAATGGAAATGGAAAAAAAAAATAGATTTGCAATGTGGTCAGGAGGAGAACAGCCAGGACTTGGTGACTAGTTGAGAGAAGGAAAAGAGAGTCAAATATTTTAATTGAATAACTGATAATTAGTTGTTTAATGTCTGCCTCCCTGTCTGAACCATAAGGACAGGGACCATGTCTTCTTTGGTTCCTTGCTGTATCTCCAGCATAGGACCAGGTATCAGTACACATTCAATTAATGTTCATTGAACAGATGGATGGATGGATGTGTGGCTGGCCAAAGAGGCTGTCTTCTGCGCGGGTGGGGACTAGCTCACCTCTGGGCATCAGGCTGTGAGATGGCATTCACAATGGCCTCCACACTGCTGTCGAAGAGCTCCGAGTCCTGCAGAGCAGCGAAGGCAGCCTGAATGAGCGCCTCACAGTCCTGCAGTGGCACCTCCAGCTGCACCCAGCTGGAGAAACACTTGAGCACCTTCTGACGCACACAGCTGGGTGAGCTGGGCTGCTGTAGTAGTTGCTCCAGCAGAGGGAAGACAGCCCCACATTCCACCGCCAGGCTGGTCCGCACCAGGCCTTTGCGGTACTGGGGTAGGCGGCTGGTCTGGAACTCCTCAGGCAGCACTGTCAGTAGCTCTAGCAGGGCTAGGCAGCGACCCTGGCCATCCACTGGTGAGTCCTCAGCCTGGAAGAGTCGTACCATATCTGCCACAGCACATGGCCAAGCGTCAGGCATCATGCTGAGAGCCAGTGAGGCCAGTGCCACGCACAGCCGAGTCAGTACAATCTTGGAGCCACTGGCAAAGCGGGTGATCTGGGTGAAGAGCTGTGCCTTTAGGCTTTCATACTGGTCAGTGGGGATGTCACTCCAGTAGCGAGAGATCTTGATGTGAAGAGCACTGGCCCCAAAGTACTGGATCTCTGGTACCTTGTCAGGTTGCAGTAGCTGCCAGCTGAAGTGCCAGGCCTGTGGGGAGACCTGGGCCTGCATCAGCCACTTCTGAGCCAGGTTCTTGTTCTCAATGTTGGGGTCATAGTAGAGCTGGTGCAGCGCCTGCAGGACAGCACAGGACTGAACAGGTGCTGGCCACTCTGGATCCTGCCAGAGCCCAGAACAGAGGTGTGACTTGGTCCTGCAAGGGTGCTCCCTCTCCCTGACTGGGGGGCTGAGCAGGGAGAGCTCAGGGCTCTGCAGTGTTTCCTGGGCCTGGGGTCCTGCTGATATCTTGAGAGCCTGAACCTTGTTCATGCTCTACCATATCCTCTTCTCCTTATAGCAAAACATTATGGGTTCAGAGAGGGAATCTCCACAGGAAAGCGAAAAAAGAGGAAGCTGATCTCCCCAAAGGGGAGGCACTTGAGGGCAAAGCCCAGGTGGAAGGAACAGCTTCGCAGGGATGAAGCTAAGTCTGAGAAGGGCATGGAACAGCTTGAGGGGACTTGACCCTCCCAGGCACAGCTGCTCCCATCAACTCCAACAGCTCCTTTCAGCTCCCCCAGGATCATCCCTAGGTCACTCCAGATGCTGGCACCAAAGCCAGTGTGAAATCAGAGCAGGACTAAGACTTTTTCCAGGCAGCCCTGGGGCACAGATATACTGGAGGGGAGGGTGAGAACACTCCTCAGAGGGCACATGTCCAACCAACTGATCCAGAGAAGCCTTGGCCATAGCTGCAGCCCTGGCAAACACCTCGCCTAGTGCTCTCCACTAGCAGAATCCCCAGGGTCTCAATTCCAATGGGACTTTATCAAGTAAGAAAACAGTGAGATTTATCTCCCAATAGCACATGGAACAGTGCGCCACCATGCCAACACTGCCCTGCTCCAAGGGGTGGGAGAGTGTGGCCAGGACCCTGACCCTTAATCAGGCTCCATCCAAGTAGGCTTAGCTCTATTCGTACCCCTGACAGCCAGTTATGGCCATTGGCCCTTGTTTGGCCCCTCAGGGATGCCAAAGCAGACAGAAGAGATGCATCCTCCTTATTTGTTATGGCAAACAGGGTTAAGGATAACAAGTGAGCATCCGCAATCATTCCCTGCTTTCAGGTAAGGGAGCCCTATCTCCCCATTCATCCCAGGGTGTATGCATTCCTGCATTTCAGGTTGTAGGGAGCAGATACAAAAAAGAACTAAAGAGGCAGTTCAGAAAGACGGGCTGGGCAGTGGGGGAGCCTGGGAGGGCCATGGCAGGGAGCTATGTGGGCAGGTGAGTAGGGAGGAGCCCTGTAAGGCTCCCAGCTGGGCCAGGACCCTTGGACTCAGCACAAAACAAAGGGAGACAGCCCCAGGCCTGCCTGCTCAGGACTGGTCTGGCTTCCATCCAATAAAGGAAGGACCCTTCTTCAAAGAGTCGAAACAACCCAGATTGTTTTAGTTCCAGATCATTTTCTGAGCCCTTGGCTCAACAAAATCAGGTCCAGGATGGTTTGGCATCAGGATAATTCCAGGAGACTGAGCTGCAGGTCTCCTGGGTTCCCAGTTTCCTACTGCACTGCTCATGCAGTTCCCATGGAGCTGGAAAATAGCCAGTCTGGATGGGAGGCTAAGTCACAGCACCCTGAAGGGACCATCCCAAGACCCTAGAGTATCTGTCCACAGGGGACCTGCCTGTAAGGAAAGACAAAAATAGCCCATTAGGGCACTGCAATACTGCCTGCCCAGATAGACAGCAAATGCCAGGTGCTCTGGGGGCACCATACCAGCGGGCACCCAGCCCAGGCCTGAGCTCTGCCATTAGTGACAGTCCCCAGAACTTCTGCTCTGTCACTGGAGTGCCCACCCCAGAGCCCTCATACCTTCTCCACGTTCTCCACAGTGAAGTCCAAGGCTGGTGCTGCTCCAGCCCCTGCAGCCCCCGGCTGCTCCTCCCGCCGCTCCATCTTTGCTCCCTCCCTGGCAGGGAGGTGGGCCCTGATCTGTCTCCTGCCCCAGCCCCTTGGCTGCTGGCCCCCTGCTAGACCCCGGCTTGGGTGCCCAGGGAGTGGTGGGGTGAGGGGGAGCCCAGGGCGGGCATGGCTGCCGAGGCCTCCCCACCTCGTTTGGGGGTGGGAGGCTTGCCAGAGGCCAAAAGGGGTGCTCTTAGGAGACCCAATGAAAGGGACTCCGAGGAGGGAGCCGTCAATGAGGAGCTCTCAGGCAGGGATCCTAGTGGTAGGTAACAGCTCTGTCCCCAGAATCTGTGTGGAGGGAGTCACTGGGGAGGGAGGCCTGCGGGGGAAACCAAGTCCCTGGCTCTTGAGGGGTCACAAGGTCGATGGCCTGTACCCACAACACCCCCGCCTGGGTGAGCTCTCGGGTGCTATGAAGAGGTCATGGGGCTGGAGGGTCACGGGGGAGAGAGCCCTTCGTGGTTACGGAGGCGTCCGACGAGGCGCGGAGATGCAGCTCCGCGAGTCTGGGGCGAAGAGTCCGTGGAGTTGAGGGGCTGTGGCAGGTCCCTTCCGTTCGGCCTGGCCCGCGCTGTTCTCACCGCCCCGCTACAGCCCAGCTACCGCCGCTGCCTCCGCCCCAGTGACTGACAGACAAGCCCGCCCGGCCGGGACGGGGCAGGGACCTCGGCAAGGCGCGGGCTGCCCCGAGCGCCTGTCCCCGGCACCGCAACTCAGGCCCCCACTCTCGCCAGTTCTGGCTCGGCACGGCCCGGCACCGCCCGGCACGGCCCAGCGGAACTGCGCGGAAACTCATTCCGGGTCTTTAGCCCTGTCCTCGCGCCAGTCCGCGCTCCCCTGAGCAGGCGGTGGAGCGGCACGCCGCCCCAGGCCCCCGCAGAGTCTAGGCCCCGCCGCTGTTCACCCTGGGAAATGTAGTCCATGTTGCGCCTAGCCGGAAGGCGGCGCCCTGCGGAGGAGGCCGGGAGCACGTGGGTTGGGGACCTGCAGAGCCCCGCCTGTCCTCGGCCTACCGCGGCCAGCAGGCATTCCGGGTCAGACCGGCGCGGGGCGCTGCGGCCCAACTGCTTAGTAGGAGAACGTGACTCGAGGGGCCCGAGGACGGAGGTGGGAGCCCGGGCTAGAGGGTGGAGGCTGGGGAGGTTGCCTGGTGACTCTGGCGCTCCGCTGCGAGGGCATCCTCCGGCCCAGCAAAGGTGCAGCCTGGGAAGAAGGCGTCAGCACCACCCAGAGAAGAGGAGAGGGGACTTGGCACGCCTCAGGAAGGAAAAAAGGAAGGCTCTTGGGACCACCCAATAAGCAACCGGGAAACCACATACCATGGACAGTGCTCGGGGAATTTCGTAAGGTTTTTGGAAGTAACTTTATGTGTAACTAGAATAAGAGTAGCTTACATTTAAGTGCTAGGAGCAGGACTTTGCATACCTTAGGTTCAGTTTTCTTAGTAGCTCTGAGCTGGGTATTTTTATTCATCGTTTTCAGATGAGATGAGGAAATCGAGCTTGGGGAAAGTTAGGCTTATCTTGCCCTTGGCACAAAGACAGGGTGGCAGACCCTGCCATAGGTCTGGTCTGCCACAGGCCCCGGTGGTTCCTGCCTCTCAGCCCTCCAGTTGTATTTTATTGTTTATTAACTCCTGCCAGCTACCCTAGCAGGGAAGAGGAAAAAAATTAAAAGTGCAAAGAGCTCTGTAGTTTTGTTCAAGTGGAGGAAGCTGGCATTGACAGCAGCCGCTGAGGCCTGAGAAGGTCCATGAAGGCTTCCCTGAGAAGAGAAACTTGATCTGAGCTTGAAGAATAGAGAGCCTGGGAAGGAGAGGGGCTCATTTAGCTGGTAAGCAAAATCCAGTGGGACTCTAAGTCATTCAGCAAGGCTGAATGAATAGCAAGTAGGCCGGGCGCGGTGGCTCATGCCTGTAATCCCAGCACTTTAGGAGGCCGAGGCGGGCAGATCACGAGGTCAGGAGATCGAGACCATCCTGGCTAACACAGTGAAACCCCGTCTCTACTAAAAATACAAAAAATTAGCCTGGCCTGGTGGCGGGCACCTGTAGTCCCAGCTACTTGGGAGGCTGAGGCAGGAGAATGGTGTGAACCCAGGAGGCGGAGCTTGAAGTGAGCTGAGCTCGCGCCACTGCACTCCAGCCTGGGCGACAGAGCGAGACTCTGTCTCAAAAAAAAAAAAAAAAAAAAAAAGAAAGAAAGAAAGAATAGCAAGTAATTTATATTCATTTAAAGGGAATATATGTGGGGTGGGGAAGGGTGTGAGTAACAGAGATGAGGTTGGAAAGACAAGTTGGTAGCAATAGATTCTTATAGGAGTTTGGACATTATCCTAAGTGCAATATGAAACCATGATGGGGTTTCAAGTGAGCTATGATGATTACATTTGCATTTAGAAAAATCTGTCTGCAATATGAAAGACAAATTGAAGGAAGAAAAAGAGGCAGGAGAATTTGGAAGGAGGAAATAGAAAGCCAAAATAAAGTAACTGATTCCAGGCCTGTGCCTAGGGTGGGAAAGACCTTGGGCCTGGTGCTCCTGGCAGTTTCACTGGTGGAGGTGGTGGTGGGCAGGGGAGATGGTGTTGGGAGTGGGGTTTAAGTGTACAAATTCTGGACTTAGTCCTGAGTTCAAAACCTGTTTGTGCCTCTTTCTAGCAATGAGACCTTAGCCTCTTCTGAAACTCATTTTAGTTAAGGGGGTTTTAGGGGTGGGGGGCTCAGCCTAGAGACCACACCTTTGTCAGTATGTGTTTTCTTCCTGCTTCCTATCCAGGGCTCCTCCTCACCCCTGGGGATTCCAGGGATCTGGCAGAGAAAGAAGCCCAGTCTCACCAGCAATGAGTCCTGAACATCCTTTGCAAACACTACTTAGGACAGATGGACTGAAGTAGGCCCTGGGGAGAGTTGGGGGCATTTCCAGAGGCCAGACCAAAGGTGATCTCCAGGAGATTTGGATGTTAGTGCAGGACAGCTTAGAGCCAAGTGGCAGATAAGTCTTTGGGAGCCAAAAGGGCTCTTCTCTAAGGAAGAATTGTAGACCTATAGAGGCAAGAACCTGTGGCAACCCTGGGAGGGGTCTTCAGATTCAGGAGGGAACATCCCAAAACTCAGCAGATGGGGAGAGGGAGCTTTTGTTGGTCAACTGGAACCACTACCAATCCATGTTCATGTCAAATTAAATGATCACTTTGAAGTTTTTCAGCCTGCCAAAATCATGTGAATTTGGTCTGCAAAACCAGACGACTGCCTGCTTGTAGTTAAGAATTCTAGGCCGGGCGCGGTGGCTCAAGCCTGTAATCCCAGCAGTTTGGGAGGCTGAGATGCGCGGATCACGAGGTCAGGAGATCGAGACCATCCTGGCTAACACGGTGAAACCCCGTCTCTACTAAAAAATACTAAAAAACTTGGCGGGCGCCTGTAGTCCCAGCTACTCGGGCAGGAGAATGGCGTAAACCCGGGAGGTGGAGCTAGCAGTGAGCTGAGATCCGACCACTGTACTCCAGCCTGGGCGGCAGAGCGAGACTCCGTCTCAAAAAAAAAAAAAAAAAGATTTCTCAGGGGGAGGCTGGGTGCAGTGGCTCACGCCACCAGCACTTTGGGAGGCCGAGGCAAGCGGATCACGAGGTCAGGAGTTCGAGACCAGCCTGGCCAACATGGTGAAACCCTGTCTCTATTAATAATACAAAAATTACCCTGGTGTGGTGGCAGACACCTGTAGTCCCAGCTACTTGGGAGGCTGAGGCAGGAGAATCTCTTGAACCCGGGAGGTGGAGGTTGCAGTGAGCTGAGATCACACCATTGCATTGCAGCCTGGGCAACAGAGCAAGACTGTCTCACAAAAAAAAAAAAAAAAAGAATTATCAGGGGGAGATTATTCCCCCTTCTTAGTACCAAGGTTGGATGCAGGCAGTTTTCTTTGTAGTCCCCTGGTTTGAGGGAGAGAGTTAAGTCAGACAGGGGCAGGTTTCTTTCTAATTCCCCCTCACAGTGTGGGCATACACTGGCCTTTGAGGTCCTGGCCTTATGGAGAAGTTTCTAAACAGACTCCCCATGGTGAGGGGGCCCTGGGCTTTGTCTTTCTCATAAGCTCAGGGACACCTTGAAAACCAATGATCAGGTTCACTGGGTTCGGCAACTGCCCTCAAGATGAAAGCCAATGATAGAGCTTTGCTTACCTTTGTAGCTTCTTGCTTTCATTTATTTTTTTTGGCCTCAGCGCATTTCTTATGTTTTTGCCAGCTTACGGATGCATTTAATTTTAAAGACAGATAGAGTCTAATATTTAAAGTTGTTTTCAGCAGGAAGTTTAGCCCAAGTCCTTAGGCTACCATGTTGCAAGAAAACCTAATGGGAAGCTTTCGGCTCTGCTGCAGCTTGATTTGTGTGCTGCATCTGGCCCTGTTGGCCACTCCCTCAGCTCTTCTGTTTGGTTTTGTTTGTCCTGACACTCTGACCACTCCTGTTTGGTTTCCTTCACTGGCCTGTCCCTGTTCCTCCCCCTGCTCCTTGAATGTTGGTTCTCCTTAGTCTCTGCTTCTTGTCTTAGGCCTCATTATCTCACCACTCCCCTGGCTTCAAGCTGTGACTCCTTGGATTTCTCCAGCCCAGACTGTCCTGAGTTTCAAACCTGCATATTCAGCTGCCTCCTGGCCCTCTGAAGTTGCCACAGCACCTGAAGTTGAACATGTACAAAACTGAACTCACATTTTCCCCACATCTTAACCCTATCACATACTAAAATACTACATCCCCTGGGTTCCGTACCAGTCCCCAAAGGTAGACACCTGGAAACCATTTCTTAGCAAGCCCTCACCTCTCTTATTGCCCCTCACATCTCTTCTGTCCTTGCATATTGCTTCTGCCCTAACTCAAGGTACCTGTGCTTGTTGCCTGAACAGCTCTAACTATGGCAGCTCTAGCTGGCTCCCACCTTGCCTCTTCCATCCATACTAGACACAGAAGCCAGTGATCCATCTGAAACACATCTCTAACCAAGCCCACTTAAAACCCTTCAGTGGCTCCTTTCAGAGCAAAGGCCGAGCTCCTTGGTATAACATTCAAAGGCCTTTGTGATCTCTCCAGCCTTTTGTCTTGATGGAGACCCTCCCCAAGTCCACTGGAAGCTGCTGGCAATCCTGGGAGCACACCAGGCTGTTTCACACTTCCCTGTCTTTGTTCATACTACTTCCTCGGCTGAGAAGGCTCTGTGTCATTCTGGATGCCATCAGGAGAGAGACACCACACAGTCAGCATGCAGGGAAAGTTTAATGTAAGAATTTTGAACTGTAACAGGGAATTGAAGCTGTGATGAACTGGCTAGTAAAAAGTAAAAAAAAAAAAAAAAAAAATCTAAAGAATATAGGACTAGCAGAGTCTTCAGGCTGAGATGGAGAGCCCAAGGAAGAGGCCCTCACTTCTCTACTCCATTCCTGTCCAGGGCTGAGGAGAACCACAACATGCAGGACAGGACATGGCCACAACAAACAGTGTAAATGTAGAAGTGAGAGGAAATAAAGGCAATCAGCAGTAACCAGTTTGGGTCCCATGCGTCCCATCCACCCTATAACCCACCCTGTGCAAACACACTCGTTTTTCAAGACTCAGTTCAAATATCACCTTTTCCACAAAGACTTTTCCTCTTCTGCATCTATCTAGGAAAAAACTGATTGTTCTTCCTTTGTGATTGTAGATTCTTCGCCCTCCTTGACACACATACCTATAACCTCAGTCATACTTCTACTGGGGTACTTGTTTACCCCCACCTAGGCTTGCCAGAAAAAATCAGGACAGTTATTTTTTTTTCTGAGATGGAGTCTTGCTCTGTCACCCAGGCTGGAGTGCAGTGGCACAGCTCACTGCAGCCTCTGCCTCCTGGGTTCAAGCAGTTCTTCTGCCTCGGCCTCACTGAGTAACTGGCACTACAGGCATGCACGCTACTATCCCCGGCTAATTTTGTATTTTTAGTAGAGATGGGGTTTCACCATATTGGCTAGGCTGGTCTCGAACTTCTGACCTTGTGATTCGCCCACCTTGGCCTCCCATAGTGCTGGGATTACAGGTGTGAGCCACCGCACCTGGCCACCTATTTAATTTTGAATATCAGATCAACAACAATTTTTTTCGAGACGGAGTCTCACGCTGTCACCCAGGCTGGAGCGCAGTGGTGCTATCTCAGCTCACTGCAACCTCCGCCTCCCGGGTTCATGCCGTTCTCCTGCCTCAGTCTCCTGAGTAGCTGGGACTACAGGCGCCCACCACCATGCCCGGCTAATTTTTTGTATTTTTAGTAGAGACAGGGTTTCACCATGTTAGCCAGGATGGTCTCAATCTTCTGACCTTGTGATCCGCCAGCCTCAGCCTCCCAAAGTGCAGGGATTGCAGGCGTGATCCTGGCCTTTTTTTTTTGAGATGGAGTCTTACTCTGTCACCCAGGTTGGAGGGCAGTGGTGCGATTTTGGCTCTGCAACTTCCACCCCTTGGACTCGAACAATCCTCCCACCTCAGCCTCCAAATAGCTGGACAGATGCACGTCACCACACCTGGCTAAGTTTCTATATTTTTGGTAGAGACAGGGTTTCACTATGTTGCCCAGGCTGGTCTTCAATTCCTGAGCTCTAGTGATCCACCCGTTTCAACCTCCCAAAGTGCTGGGATTATAGGTGTGAGCCACCACACCCAGCCAAATTTTTTATATAAGTATGTCCCAATGATTGCATTGGACATACTGAAAACAAGTATTTAGGCCAGGCATGGTGACTCGCACCTGTAATCCGAACGCTTTGGGAGGCCAAGGTGGGAGGATCTCTTGAACTCAGGAGTTCAAGACCAGCGTGGGTAACGTAGTAAGAGCCTGTCTCTACTAAAAAAATAATAATAATTTAAAAATTAGCCAGTCATGGTAGAATGCACCTGTAGCCTTAGCTAGTTAGGAGGCTGAGGTGGGAGGATTGCTTTAGCCCAGGAGGTGGAGGTTGCAGTGAACTGAGATCGCACCACTGCACTCCAGCCCAAGGGACAGAGCAAGACCCTATCTCAAAAAAAAAGTGTATTTATTGTTTACCTGAAATCCTTTTTTTTTTTTTTTTTTTTTTTTTGGAGACAGAATCTCACTTTGTCGCCAGGCTGGAGTGCAGTGGCATGATCTTGGCTCACTGCAACCTCCACCTCCTGGGTTCAAGCGATTGTCCTGCCTCAGCCTCCCAAGTAGCTGGGACTACAGGTGCCCACCACACCCAGCCAATTTTTATATTTTTAGTAGAGACAGGGTTTCACCATGTTGGCCAGGAGGGTCTCGCTCTCTTGACCTCGTGATCCGCCCACCTCGGCCTCCCAAAGTGCTGGGATTACAGGCGTGAGTCACTACACCTGGCCTGAAATCCAAATTTAACCAGATGTCTTTTACTTTTATTTGCTACCCTACCCCTACTTCCATCTCCAAGTATAGTTTCCTTGATGGCAAAACATGTTTCTCACTGGTCTCTGAATCCCTGAAACTAGCCCAATGCATGACAGTTCATACTCGGTTAATGTGAAGAGAAGGTAACTTATCTGGCTGCAGGGCTGAGAATGATTGGAGGGAGTTGTGACTGGAGACAGTGAGACCAGGTAGGAGGATGAGCAATAAACCATCCAAAAAATTATGAAGACTTCAGCAGAACAGCACTGGGGATAGGGAAAGGGGATGGATCTGCAGGATCTAAGGATTTGGTGACCAGTGCTTAAGGGACATGACAGAGCTTAAGAAGTCTAGGAGATTGCCCAAGTTTCTGGCTGTGTCACTGGATGAGATTGGTGCACTCACTGAGTAGGGAACACTGGGGAGGGTCTGGAAGCTGGACAGCAGGGAAGCTCATTGAGGAGCAGAGCAGGGTGGAGAAGGGTGGACAGCAGATCTGAAGGAGCAAATGGAAGACATCCAGTACAGATATGTTAAGCCTGAGGTCTCCCAGGACATACAGATAGAGGTATTGGAATTACAGACTTGGGGCTCAGGTGAACGTTCTAGGCTGGAGATAAAATGTGAGCATGATCAGCGTGGAGGTGGTAACTGAAACCACGGGAGCAGACAGTGCTGCTCAGGGAGACAGTAGAATGGGAAGAGGAGAGAGCGTCAGTATCAGAGCTCTGAGGAACATGAGAGGCAGAGAGAGGAAGAGGAACTCAGAATTCATCTGAGAATAAGCCTCTGGAGGAGTGGAAGGAGAACCCGGAGAGTATGGAACCAAGACAGTCACAAGAAGACAGCTTTTCAAGGAGGACTGATACTATCGAATGCTTCTGAGAGTTCAAAGGACTAAATGGCCTTTGGCTTTAGTATTGACCAGAGTCACCTGTGGCCCCAGGAGCTACAATGTGCCACCTGGTGACAGGTTATAGCTACTATGTGGTAAACAGAGGTACAGCTCTGCAGCCTGTTTCCTTTGGGGAAAACAACCTTTTCTTTCTTGCTTGCTTCTTGCTTTCTCTCTCTTTCCCCTTTCTTTCTTCCCTCCCTCCTTCCCTTCTTCCCTCCCTGCCTCCTTCCTTCCTTCCTCCCTCCCTCCCCTCCTTCCCTTCACTCTCTTTCTTCCGTTTGATTTGGGTTGTCCTGAATTGCATACTGAGGCTAGTTCATGTGGGAATGTGTTTTTGGAACTGTTGCTGTCTTGTTCCGGACTCTGAGATGTTGAGTACAAGCTATCTGGAGCCCAGAATGCAGCCTCCAGCTGGGGTGGGCACTATTCCCTGAAAAGCTGGCAGCCTGGGGAGTGTCGACAGCCAGCACCTTTGGCTTGGGCTGTGGCCCTGTCACTGTGAGCATTGTCAGAGATGGCTTCAGTCAGTCTCCTTTACTGGCTCTGGAGCAGCCATGTCTACTGAGTGGCAGGGTTTGGGGACTAGGCTAGGCTTTAAAGTCTTGCCAACAGGGGGCTGCCTGGCCCCAATAACCCTGGAATTGACAGAATGTCCTTCTCTGCCAGCAGCCAGCCTTCTGTAAACTGTATGGCCCTGGGGCCATTTTCTTTGCAGGAGGGAAGGTGGAACTAAGGATCCTGAATCCGTTTGGAGGCAGAGAGGGGCCAACAGGGTGTTTGAAGGGAACAAAGGCATCAACATTTTGGGAGCATCTAGAACTGGGGCAGTGAATGCAGAAGAGTGGGAGCACACACACATCTCTCCTCGTTGACCCAGAATGGGCACAGCCTTCAGAGAGCTCTTGCCAGCTCCTCACTGTAGCCTGGGTGAAGGGGGCACCTGTGCCAAAGCAGGCAGGCACACAGGCAGATTGGAAGGAATTTCTGTCAGCAGCGTTAAATGCCCTGTCCGTCTCATGGTGCTCTCATCCATCCCCGGCTGCAGCTCCTGCCCCTGTGCTGACAGCTCTCACACCAGTCCGGCCCAGACCTCCTCCCGCAGCTCCAGACCAGCAGATCCCACTCCCTCTTGACAACCCCTCTGGATGTCCCACAGTTCCTCAGACTTAGCATCCTTTCCGCATCCATGCCCCCATCTCATTTCCAAAGAAGAAAAATCACAGAGGCCTCCCCAGTACAAATGTATAGGACGTGGGAAACAAGGTTTCAAAGGATATTCAGAAAAGCTCAGGGACAGCCCTGGCCTTTTGGAGGTGACTTGGGGGGGGGTGGTGTGAGAGGCCAGGGTCAGCACTAACTTCTTTCTTCCCCACGAAGGTGTGGACTTCTTAGCTTCCTGTCCTTTTCTTTTGTTTCTTTTCTTTTCTTTTTGAGACGGAGTCTCGCTCTGTCTCCCAGGCTGGAGTGCAGTGGCGCTATCTCGGCTCACTGCAACCTCCGCCTCCCGGGTTCACGGCATTCTCCTGCCTCAGCCTCCCGAGTAGCTGGGACTACAGGTGCCCACCTCCATGCCCAGCTCATTTTTTTTTTTTTTTTGTATTTTTAGTAGAGACAGGGTTTCACCATGTTAGCCAGGATGGTCTTGATCTTCTGACCTCATGATCCGCCTGCCTCGGCCTCCCAAAGTGCTGGGATTACAGACATGAGCCACCGCGCCTGGCAGCTTCCTGTCCTTTTCATGCCACTTGCTAAATTGAATTTAACTAATTTTTACTGTAATTGTTTACTTATTGTCTGTCTCTCCTGGTTGAAGCTTCTCAAGGGCAGGGATCATGTCTGTTTTCACTTCTGTATCCTTGGCATCTGTCATATAATCAGTATCTGACATATAATAGGTGCCTAATAAATATTTGTTTGAGTTAATGATTATTCTTATTCATCACCCAAGATGCAGATCCTTCTGGGGCTCTTATCCTTTCCTGCCTCCTTATCCCCATGGAGCTCTGTGCTTCGTTCACCGGAGCCAGCACCCCACCGCACCCTTTCCCAACCCTCAGCTTTTTTTCAGATGCCCTCATGCCCTGGGCTATTTCATGGAATGTGGATAGTGAGTTAACCATGCTGGACTGTCTGCAAGCAGAGGCATGTGTATATCTGACAAGGTATCTTCAAGACAATTCCCTGGATGGTAAGACACTGATCAATGACTGTGGGGTGGGACAATGGGTGCTTCTCTGTGTCTTTACACTAAGCGGGGGCCTCAGAGATGCCACAGGTCACATAGACAGGGCTTTCTTCACAGAAGACTCTGCAATCTCTTTCCCCAGAGGTAAGTCCAGGCCCAAGTGAGCAGCCTGCCAGGACTAGTGACTGCACCCTTGCTGCCTGCCCTGCCCCTGCCTGTGTTCCATTCCTCCCATCCCGGAGCTGCTGGGTGGGGGCCGGAGATCCAGGTCAGGTCTGTGATTTCTGAGTCAGCCTGAGGTGTGCGAATGCGACCAGCAAGGCATAATCTCCATCTAGCCTCTTCTCCCCAGCCCCCCACTGCCCAGGAAAAGGATCTGACAAGCCACAGAAGTAAATAAATAACTTAGAAATAATAAATAGGGGCCAGCTCCCATGAGTGAGTACAGGCCAGTTCCAGCACAGGCGCTTTCAACCAAGCAACTGCAATATGTGTCCTTCAAAGGCTGTCCCCAAAGCGCCTGGGCGGGGGCTGATGTCTCAGCCACTGTAGGGTTCATCAGAGGAGGAGTCCCAGGTTCGAGGCCTGGCCAGTGCCAGAGTCTGTGAGAAGTGGGTCCGTAGGGCTCCCTAACTGAGGTCTCTGGTGTCTTTTAGGCTGGGATGGCAGGGTGAGGGCTCTGGGGCTGCTAGTCAGTTGTCCCTCCACCTGTCCAGGGATGATGTTCATCACTCGCCAGCAGGGGCCTCTCGGCTCTGAGGCCTCCGTCCCTGGCTGAGGCCACTGGCTAGTGGGACTCTGCGGGAGAGTCCCAGGCAGGAAGAGCTATCGGCAAGGGTCCAGTCTGCAAAGCCCTGGAGTGAGCCTTCAGCCCAGGCAGCCGCAGGCGGTGGCCGAGAGACGGTCCACGGTTCTCCAGGTGCTATTGACGTCCATGAAGGAGACTGCTTCGTAGCGCGTGGGTCGGCAGCAGGGCTGGCTGATGGGCCGGGAGCCCGGGGGCGGTCGGAGGGCCCCAGCGCCCAGTAGGCTGGCCAGGCTGAGGTCGTGCGGAGATCGCGCGCGGCGGCAGGAGCCGCTGCAGAAGCGGAAACGCACCAGCTCGTCGGAACGGTGGCCCAGGCCGAGCGCGCGCACTGGCACCAGCTGCGAGCGCAGGCGGCAGCCCCGCGCCCCCGCGGCCCGAGGGCGGCTGCCCGGGCCCCCAGCCCGCGCTGCGCGGCCCCCGCGGGGAGGAGCAGATGGGGGCGCGGGCGGCGGCGGCGCGGGACGAGAAGGCTGCGACGGCGGCCGCCGGGCTCTTCCACTGCACCAGCGGGCCGTGCGTCCCCCTGGAATGAGACCTAGTCACGCGCGGTGTCCCGGGCGAGCCCCTCCCCGCCCCCTCGCCCTCTCACCTACCCGGCAGGTGGCCGGCGGGGGGCGCCAAGACAGGCGCGGGGCCTTCGCGGGGGGCAGGGCTGGGGGGCGCGGGTCCCAGGGAGGCCTCTGCGACGCTGCTCAGCAGAGCCAGAGCGGCCAGGGTGGGCCACAGGGCAGGCTGCGCGGAGAGACCAAGTGGAGTCTCAGGGAGAAAGAGGGCGCCCAGGTGGGCTTGGGGAGGGAGGACCTCAAGGAGGGGCTGTCCTTGGGCTGAGATCAGGCCGGGGATGGGCTCCTAGCTGTGTGGAGGGGAAGCTCAGGAAGGGCGTACGTTCCAGTATAATGGGTTTGCTGCCTCTGGGAGCCCAGGGGAGGAATCACCTGCGTGCACCGACCATTCAGAGAAGTCCCGCTCCTCCTCCCATTCACCTGGTCCCTCCCTGACCATTTCCCATCCCACACCTAACCGCTGCGCAAGCCAAGCCCTGCTATCCCTCGCCGGTCAAGCCGCCTTTCCTCAGCTCCAGGTAGGAGTCACTGGGAGAAGCACTCACCTGCCGCCTAGGCCAGGGGCAGTGGGACAGTGCGGAGAGGCCTCCAAGTCCAAGTTCCATCTCTATCAACACCAGGAGCGCCCATCAGCCTTTGTTGAGCTGTTCCCCCACCCTCCTCTTGAGGCAGCTTGCAAATTAAGAGATGAGTTATCTTTTGGGAGGCCGTCCTGCCACCCCAGTTTCTCCAGGTGAGGAACAAGGGGCCTGGACAGCTGAACTCAACTCAGCAGAAGTAGCTGCACTGGGAACCTTGCTATGTGTTAGGTGCTTTGCAGCTATTCTTTCACAACTCCATGAGGTAAATGGTTTAATCCCCTTTTTCCAGATGAGCAAACAAGGCTCAGAGAAGCTCAGAGGTTGTCTAAGGTTACAAGGTCACACAGCTAGAGGGGAGAGAGGGGTCCTCTTTTCCCAGAACCTTCCTGCTCTGTGCTGTAGGGCTGGAGATGCTGGAAGTGGCTGGAGGGAGTTGTAGCTGGACACACTTGGTCCTGCAAAGGCCTTCACCCCAGGCTGCGGGAAAGGAAGCTGAGGCCTGGAGAAGAATGAGAGTGCTAGTTGGTCACTCTAAGAGTTATCTAATGATAGTGAGCTCCAAGCCTCAAGCTGTGCTGCCCACCAAGAGCTGCTTCACCTTGCCCCTCTGTGAACTGTGTTCTGGACCCAGAGCCACCTGAGTTCTCCCCTCTGACCATAGGGGTCCCCCAATGATCACAGAGCCGGGGGATGGTGGGACCCTCGGAAAACATGGGGCCTGGGCCATGGCTTCCTGTGGCCACCAGGGGGCAGAGCCTGCCAAGCCTGCAGATTCCAAGCAGGGTGGGCTCTTCCATCCCCTCAGCTACACTCAGGCCTGAGCCACTCCCAGGAGGGCCAGCTAGGCTTCCATACCAGCCTGGTCTCTGAGAGCTGAGCTACCCTGAGAGCTGGTCTAGGGCTGTCCCCTTCCCAGCCTCCTATGGATCTGGCAGTGTAGTCATGCTCCTAGAAGTTTCCGCCTTGAGCCATCGTTCCTGATTCCAGCCAGCCTCTCCTGAGCTCCCACTTCTGGCACTCCCAAACACCCTTTTGGGGCCCCAGAGCCTTCATAAGTCCTCATTAGCCAACCTCCTCTTGGGTCCCAGCTGCCACCCTCATCCCCATCCTCTAGCACACAGAATGCCTGCACACCTGTGGAACAGACCCCCAGGCCTTCCTGGGGTGGTCCTCCAGGTCCTGGTGTGCGACTCTTGGCTAAGTGGTAACAGGGCCTCCGGGCCAGGCCAGTGACTGTTCTCCGTGATGGAGAGAAAGGCAGGCAGGGCAGCCTTAGGAGCCCTCTGCGCTAGGGGGAGCCCGGGAGCAGGTCTCTTGAGGGCAGCTCAGGCCTTGCCTCCTACCTCCTTGTGCTCTAGGGCCATTTGGTTTTCTAGCCCTTGCCTCCCCATCCACCAGCCCGCTACTCACCACGGGGTCCTGCACCGTGTTCTTCTAGGCACCTTTCCGGGGACCAGTGCTGGGCTTTCCCCCGAAGCTCAAACGGCGCATGCCCAGGACTGTGCACCTCGCAGTGCCTCTTTTAGCCAAAAGTGTGGCCTTGGCAGCCAGTCTGCACCCTGTAGCGGCAGCGGGAGCGTCACATTACCGTGGGCCGGCAAGGCCAGCACAGTGCAACAAGCGACAAGAGGGACTGAGGGCCTGGGAGGGGCAGAGAACTGTGCCGAGGGCCCAAGAGAGGGAGGATGCAAGAAAGGAGATCAGGGGGGTGGTCCTGTCCACTCCCCCAGCCCAGGAGCGTCCATCCAGGGCTGGCACCAGAAACAGGCAAGTGGGCTGGCTTACCTCGGGTGTGGGGCTCCAGGTCCGGGTGGCAGCGAGGGCTGGGGCCCAAGGGACCTGCTGCTGGCGGAGCCCGCGGGCCTTGTCTGGAGGCCGGGCCCAACTCCATCCCTCAGCAGCCTCATGCCCGCCGCCGCAGCCGTCCGGTGTCAAATTCCAGCCCCGGCGTCACCAGATCCTGGGGTGGGGCTGGGAGCGCCCCTGCCCCGCCCCACCTTTCGGGGCTCACCTGGCTGCTCCACCCGTCGGATCCAGTCCCCCCTAGCTTGGCTAGGTCCCCCGAGGTTGGGAGGGGGGTAGATGCTAGGAGGGGCCCCTCGGATATGGAGAGTAGAGAACTCGAGCGGTAGAGAGGCACGGAAACTGGGAGTTGAGTTTGTAGACACGCGAAGTAGAGAGCCGGGAGGCCGGGCCGAGGGCGGGAGAAAGTGAGTGAGGGCGGGGAGCAAGAGGAAGGCCGGTCCCTGCGTGGGGCGGCTGACTGCTGGTGCCTGCAGATTTGGGGGTCCTGGCTGTCTGCCCTGCAGCAACTGCTCTCTGCTCCACCCGATTCTTCTCTCAGCGGCCAGTTCACCTGCCTCGTTGGGTTGCTAAGCCTCTTCGCAGAAGCTTTCAGGGTCTGACTCTGCTCTAGTCTCTGCACAGCTCACCTCCTGTGCTGCTTAGGGCTTGGAGTATGGACACTCTTGCAAACACGGGGGTCACTGGGGCACAGCAAGGGCAGTGTTGGCAGAAGTGGGTACTGAGGGCTGAAGGCAGGGGTCACAGAGGAGGAACATCTGAGCTGAGGCTTGAAGTAGGTAGCTGGAGGGCAGCATTTCAGATGCCTAATTATGGCAATTTGGCAAGTGGGGTGAGGGCTGGGTGAGTAACATGGATGGAAAGATCCTAACACTGGGGACCATGGGAGGGTTTTGAGCAGAATGGTGTGATCAGACAGATATTTTTGTGGATGACTCTGGCTGTAGTAAAGAGGATGGGGTTGGAGAGGAAGGTGGAGGCTGCTGCAGAAAGAGGATGAGGTCTGATGCAGGGCGTGAGGGAAGCGTGGGGCTACCAGGCCCCAATCTAGAACACGCAATTTTGAAAATTTGTTGGTGCCTGACTGGATAGGGTGAGGAGGTAGGTAGGCCCTGCAAAAGTGTGCCTTTGGCGGGGTGACTTGGGGGAGGGGTACATCCCGGTTCCTGGGAGGAAAGGCAGGGGCTCATGAGTTCAGTGTTGGACATGTTGAGTTGGAAGGGCCTGTGGATTATCCAAGTGGAAATGTTCAGGAAGCAGGTGAATCTGTAGCCTGGAGGGAAGCACAGAGAGCTGCGCTGTCAAAGATAATTTGGGAATTGCCAACCAACTGGCAATTAGAAGCTGTGGGCAGGGATGAGAGTACTGGGGATGAGTGTGGACCGGCTGTACCCTGGCTATGCTTCAGAACTACTGAGGACCTTTAAAACCTACCCACATCCGGGCCTCAACCTAGACTGGAATCAGACTTTCCGGGTGGACATGTGCAATTTTCAGATTGCACAGGTGATTCTGGTGCATGGCCAGGGCTCAGAACCATAGCTTGTTTGAAAGTAGTTTCCTGCAGTGGTGAGGACTAGAAGTCAGACCACAGAGAACTGCTGCTGGAGGTGGTGGGGCTGCTGCAGGTGTGCCAGGAGCCCCCTGGGATAGGAGGCCAAGCAGGGAGAAATCTGCTCTGTCACCTCCCACAACCGGCTGCTCAGTTGGGGCACCTGCCTTGGGGCTTTTGCAGCCAGCAATACCTCTTATGGGCATTCAGCTTATGCCCTGTGCAACTCCATGGGGCACCATCCAGGCAGGAACATGTGCATGGTAGTGACCTTATTTCCAGTAGAATATAGAGGAGGTTTCTGGGTTGACCTGTCCCTCAGTCAGGGCCTCCCTTACCCCCTGCTTCTGCCTAAGGCCAGCCACAGTGGGAAGGAGCATGTGGGAGGCTGCTGGTCCTTGGGATGGCCAGGACTGCAGCCTTAGGGCTCACCAGTGGGAGGGCAATCCAGGGCTGCCTGGACTCTTAGATTGGGGTGGGTGAGAGAGGGGTGCAGGGGCCGGCTGACCCACCTACTGCCTGCCAGTGGCAGTGTGATAGGAAGCTCACTTCATGGCCTCAAGTGCAGGCGACAGTCTGGTCTGTCCATTCTCAGGCCTGCCTGGGGATGCTGGGGAAGAGAGGGATCAGACTCTAGGACTCTTAAGAAGGCGAGGTGACATCTTTTCTAAAGTATGACAGAGGATGCCTAGAGGGGAGCTGAAGGGAGAGGGTGTGCCTCTGTGCTAATGATGGGGGGTGGGGCATGTCCTTCCCAGAGGGCGGGTGTCGGTAGTAGGGTAGGTCTGTGGGCCTCTGCTTCCTGCAGGGGCTCAGCAGTACATCTTTCCTGTGCTTGCAGGAATACCTGCCCTTCCAGAGGTGGGGCTGTGGCAACCCCAAGGCAATGTCCTAGGACTCCAGTCCTGTGCCTCTGTCTCCTCTAAGAGTGTGCCCTGAAACCTCTGGTCTCAAAGCAAAGAGGATACAGGAGATGCCCAGAGGCCTCTGGATGGCTACGTAGGTCCTGCACTGACACAAGAAGTGAAAGGGGCCCAGGACTGTGTGGACTGAAGAGAGGGCCCGAGGTTTTGGCGTAGTTGCTGAGGCTTTAGGTTCCTGTTTCTTCCAGAAAGTCAGAGAAGGCAAAAAGAGACCAGGCTCGGGGAAGAGCTTTATTGCTTCCACGGGGGTGGCCTGGGACAGCTGCCACAGCTTAGGTAAGGTCCTTGGGCCTCACTTCCCTCTGGTCCAGGCTAAAGGCAGAACCCAACCACCTGGCAGTCTTGTTGCTGAAACCTAGACCATGTGGCAAGTTGGTGAGTCCAGGCCTGCGGTAGTCCCGCGGATCAGCCGCGGCTGTGGAGGGGAGCTCTTCCCAGCAGGCCGAGCCAGGCGTCACCCTCCTGAGCTTTAAAGTTCTGCTGTAGCCCTGGGGCGGGCTTGTTGGCTCCAAAGGGACGGCTCCAGGGTTTCCCTATGGGACAGCTAGGGCTGGTGAGTGGGAATACCCCATCTTCTCCCCAAGAAAGGCCAAACAGTGTCATGAGCTGGAGGGGGCTGGCTTGAGATCCTGCCCACCACCCTGTAGCCCCAGAGCAAGGTACAGGCTGGTCATGGCACTCCTGCCCCACAGGGAGCTAACTGGTAACACTGCCTGATGGGCCCTCTAGTGGGCCTCTTCCTGCATGGCAAGTGGACCCAACTTGAGATCTCCAACCTTATTTAAAAATAAATTATCCCTACCCTCCCCCCTACCCAAATTCACAAAATGATAATACACCAAACACTGATTGGAGAAGTGATTCTGGCAGCAGCCTTGCTGCCCAGTGTCCCCCTGCCTGCATGCTGGGTCTGCTGGGCACAGCCAGGAGCCTGCTGGCCGTCTGGCATCAAGGACCCATGCTGAATGAGGCTGAGTGCTGGTCTCTGAGACTGGCTGCTGAGCAGGCACAGCTCCGGCTGCTCCAAGGCCTTGCTGCCCCTGGGACCCTTGGCACTGTCCTTCTCTGTGTCTGAAGACCCCTGTGTAGGTGGTGCTGGCTGCTGCTGCTCCTGGTGGTGCCTGGGCCTCTATGGCCGTGTGCTGGACCCACTCAGATGCCACTGCTTAGATCAGTGATGACGCGAGCTTTCACCAGCTTCCGCAGAAACTCTTTCTCTCGCTGGATATTGTGCGTCCAGGACTGAAAGGAGAGATGAAGTGATCAGTTGGGCCTTTGCTCAAACCTTTACTGCCCCTTCCGGGGCTCGGTGCCCTCTTCCAGTCACCACTTTCCAACACTCTGTGACCGTGGAAATCTGAAGGCGGATACTGGCAATCAGTTGTATCTTCAAGGTAATGATGGCCCTGCTCTAGGAGTGCCACAGCTCATCCTCCTCCCTTCCCAAGGCAGGGAAAAAAGAACCTTCATACCCCTTTCCTTGTCCCAGGAAAACCGTTAGGCTTCCCAACCTCCCTCCTCAGTGCTGGCGGAAGGACCTTGTTCCCACAGACTTCAAGCCACTTCTTGTCAGGAAGCACCTAGGTTATAGACACCCTGCGGGCAGGCAGTGTGAGTCACTGAAGTCCAATAGCAAGGGGTGGCTGAGTCATTCGCTGGCCTGATGCAATCTACTCTCCAGGCCTGGGGGTGGCGGATGAAATCCTGCCTCCCAGATCAGAGGAGCCATGGGGCCTGCAGAGAGATGGCGAATCTTTTTTAGAAAATTAAAAATAGGCCGGGTGCGGTGGCTCACGCCTGTAATCCCAGCACTTTGGGAGGTTGAGACGGGCGGATCACGAGGTCAGGAGTTCAAACCAGCCTGACCAACATGGTGAAACCCCGTCTCTACTAAAAATACAAAAATTAGCCAGGCGTGATGGTAGTGCCTGTAATCCCAGCTGCTCAGGAGGCTGAGGCAGGAGAATCACTTGAACCCGGGAAGCAGATATTGCAGTCAGCTGAGATCGTGCCACTGCACTCCAGCCTGGGCAACAGAGAGAGATTCTGTCTCAAAAAAATAAATAATAATAATAATAATTAAAAATAATTTTTAATTGAAAGAATAATTGTATATATTTTGGGGGAAGAATGTGATGTTTTGATAGATGTATACATTGTGGAATAATTAAATCAAGCCAACCTCACCTACTTACTAATTTTTTATGGTGAGCACATTTGATTATAGTTAATAATAATGTCACATATTTCAAAATTACTAGAAGAGGCTTCTGGGGAAGACTGTACCCAGCATAGGGTCCTTTCCTAACCCCAGGACTCTCACCAGAAAACTTTGATGAAAAAGGCTTGATTGAATGAATGGATGAATGACAACAGCCTTATCAGAGTTTGTCCCCAAGTGACCTCTCTGTTGCATTTGTCAGCACTGAGCTTCACCATAACTGTTTATTATTTATTTATTTATTTATTTTTTTTGAGACAGAGTTTCACTCTTGTTGCCCAGGCTGGAGTGCAGCAGCGTGATCTCAGCTCACTGCAACCTCTGCCTCCCAGGTTCAAGCGATTCTCCTGCCTCAGCCACCTAAGTAGCTGGGACTACAGGTGTGTGCCACCACGCCCAGCTAATTTTGTATTTTTAGTAGAGATGGGGGTTTCACCATGTTGGTCAGCCACTATTTACTGGTGCTGAGAAGTGACCTGGATGCAGTGCCCTGTGCCTGTATCCCAACTACTTGGGAGGCTGAGACAGGAGGATCATTTGAGCTTAGTCCACCTGGGTAACATATCCAGACCCCATCTTTTGAAAAATAATAAATAAATGAATTTTTAAAAAATAACTTATGGCTCTGTCTAGCCCTTATTCTGTTCCAGTCAACCCTCTCCACCTTCCAAATCTTTTACACCTGAAACTCAGGCAGTCATCAGCCCAATTCCCGCAGTCATCAGCCCAATTCCCAGTATTCCTCTTCTCAGCATTCCCTTCAACCTCTTGTGCTAACCACAAACCCAGCTGCCCTGAACGACAGTGCCCCCAGACTCCCTCTCCAGTGCTGACTGTTTCTTCCCTCACATTCCACAGTCCACAGCCTCTAAAGGCAGGGTCTTCCTTATACCCCATTGTCCCTCCAGACTCCCTAAAGCCCTCCAGCCCCTTCAAGGCTCCTGTCGTCATACTCTGCCATCTGCACTTGCCCCTCCTCATTGCGGATCCCTGGGTGACTCATCCCCATTCTTTGACGATGTAAACATTTGGCTCACTGTCTCTCTTTGAGGGCAGGGACTGTTAGGCACAGAGTAGGTGCCTTAATATTTGTTGAATGAAATCAGGTTTTACAGGGAAAACAGAGGCTTGGAGGAATGGCAGGGCCAGGATTCAAGCAGACGTGGAAACTCGTTTGCCTCTTTACTTCTCCCTCATCCTCATCACTCCTCTGGAGAAGTAGTAACCAATTTGATGGGTCAGGGTCAACAGCACCCACTAGGAGTCACTGAGGGCTAAAAGGTCAGCAGAGGACTGGATATTTGATGATATTAAGGAATTACTGTTCATGTTTTTAGGTGTAATAATTTAAAAAATAGTCCTTATCTTTTAGAGAAAATGAATGAAGTTTTTTGTTTTGTTTTGGTTTTTGTTTTTGAGATGGGAGTTTCACTCTTGTTGCCCAGGCTGGAGTGCAGTGGTGTGATCTCGGCTCACTGAAACCTCCGCCTCCCAGGTTCAAGCAATTCTCTTCCCTCAGCCTCCCAAGTAGCCGATATTACAGGCACCCGCCACCACTGGCTAATTTGTATTTTTAGTAGAGACGGGGTTTCTCCATGTTGGGCAGGCTAGTCTCGAACTCTTGACCTCAGGTGATCCACCCGCGTCAGCCTCCCAAAGTGCTGAGATTACCGGCGTTGAGCCACCGCGCCCAGCCTGAATGAAGTATTTATGGTTGGAGGGATACATGGTATCTGAGACTTGTTTGAATCGGTGGAGTAGGAGCATGAGACAAAGAAGAGGTGGAACAATGTTGGCCGCCTGTTGATGCCTGTGGAAGGTGGGGGGCAGGAACATGGCAATTCATGATATTATCCTCTGTACTTGTAATATGCTTGACAAGTTCCATTATAAAAAATAAACAAGAAAGTCAGGCCTGGGTATAGCTCTCTCGGATCCGGCAATGCCACCTCTCTGGTGCTCTTTTCCTAATTCTGCTGTCTATGCAGACAACTTCCGAGTTCCCCTGAGCTCTGAACTGGCCGTGGCTGGTGGAGGATTCTGGTCATCCTGGGGTCTCCAGCCTTACCAGGGCCCTTGATTCTGAGTATGGATGCCCATCCCATGTCACAGTCCACACTCTCAGAAGCTTTTTTTTTTTTTTTTGAGATGGAGTTTCACTCGTCGCCCAGGCTGGAGTGCAATGGTGCGATCTTGGCTCACTGCAACCTCTGCCTCCTGAGTTCAAGTGATTCTCCTGCCCCAGCCTCCCGAGTAGCTGGGATTACAGGCATGCACCACCATACTCGGCTACTTTTGTATTTTTAGTAGAGACAGGGTTTCTCCATGTTGTTCAGGCTGGTCTTGAACTCCCGACCTCAGGTGATCCGCCCGTGTTGGCCTCCCAAAGTGCTGGGATTACAGGCATGAGCCACCACACCCAGCCAGAAGCTCTTTTTCTTTGGCTCCTCTTTTTCTTTGGCTCCTCACCCAACCATTAAGTATCCATGTTCCAGGGTCCTGCTAGGATGAGCTGCGCTTCTCACTCTCTGTTCTCTCTCTGGGAAATCTCATCCTCATATCTGAAGCAGCAGCTGTGCTCACAACTCATAGATCTATACTTCCAGTCTGGACTTCTCTGCTGTGTGACAGATTCCTGTATGAAGCCATGTCATCCTCTAGCTACTGCCCAGTCTCTCCTCCCTTCTCTTCCAAGTGTCCTGAGAGATCCCTTACCACGAGCAACATCTGTGGTCTCTAACCACAGATGGTAGGTGCCATCTACTCACTGTTCGCTACTGCAATCTGGCTTCCACTCCAGTACTCCTTTGAAATGGTTCTCACCACAGTCAGCAGTAACTCCTAACAGCTACATCCGACGGCCACCTCTCAGCCCTCCTCTTACTGGCTTTCCCAGCACCACATTGTAGATGCTCTTCCTGGAACACTGCTCCTTTGGCCTCCACAATGTGGCACCTTCCCGCTTCCTCTGTCTCCTTTATGAATTCCCTTGACATCCCTTCCATATCCCCGGCATTCAATCCTTGGTCCATGTGTCTCCACATCCCACACACTCCTGCTGGGCCTGCAGAGTGAGCTGACCAAGGCAAGTGCAGGTGAAGCGAGGGGAAGCCAAGGTGTTGAATGGCCCATGGGATACACCCCAGGTAACAGAGGGATTCTAAACCCAGGCACCAACATTCTCAGTGAATCCTCTTCCGGGGATTGGTAAATAACAGTGGCAAGTAGGGGTAAAATAGTAATCATAATGGCTAAGATTTCTGAGTGCTTACTATGTGCCAGGTCTTTTTTACACATGATCACATCCGGTCCTTTCCAAACCCTAGGAGGTAGGTGCTGTTATCATCCCTTTCATAGATAAGGAAATGAAGATCTAACGTCAGCACCTGAACCACGGTCCTGAAGTCATCTTTTTTGATTTGAGAAGCTATACTCTTTTTCTTTTTCTTTCTTTCTTTTTTTTTTTTTTTGAGACACAGTCTTGTTCTGTCACCCACGCTAGACTGCAGTGGAGCAATCTTGGCTCACTGTAACCTCCACTTGAGCCTTCCTGGGCTCAAGCAATTCTCCTGCTTCAGCCTCTGGAGTAGCTGGGATTACAGGCATGCACCACCACGCCTGGCTAATTTGTGTATTTTTAGCAGAGACGCGGTTTCGCCATGTTAGCCAGGCTGGTCTCGAACTCCTGACCTCAGGTGATCCACCCGCCTCAGCTTCCCAAAGTGCTGGGATTACAGTCATGAGCTACTGCACCCAGCCAAGAAGCTACACTCTTTTTTGTATTTTTAGTAGAGACAAGGTTTCACCGCATTAGCCAGGATGGTCTCAATCTCCTGATCTCATGATCCACCCGCCTAGGCCTCCCAAAGTGCTGGGATTACAGGCGTGAGCCACCGTGCCCGGCCGAACTACACTCTTTTTTTTTTTTTTTTTTTTTGAGACGGAGTCTCGCTCTGTCGCCGGGGCTGGAGCGCAGTGGCTGGATCTCAGCTCACTGCAAGCTCCGCCTCCCGGGTTTACGCCATTCTCCTGCCTCAGCCTCCTGTGTAGCTGGGACTACAGGCGCCCGCCACCTCGCCCGGCTAGTTTTTTTTTTTTTTTTTTTTTTTTTTTTTGTATTTTTTTAGTAGAGACGGGGTTTCACCGTGTTCGCCAGGATGGTCTCGATCTCCTGACCTCGTGATCCGCCCGTCTCGGCCTCCCAAAGTGCTGGGATTACAGGCTTGAGCCACCGCGCCCGGCCCGAAGCTACACTCTTAAGCACTCTGCATGGAGTGTGGTGCAACAGATGCTGGGAGCCTCACAGCCAGTGAGGTTTTACATGTAATGGAGGGACAACAGAGATATGGCAGGTGGAAGCAAATGAAAAGATTCCATCAGAGAGGGCTGCAGGGAAGGCAGTGTCTTACCTCATTCCTACACCAAGGCAATCCCTAGGTCCTACTGAGTTAAAATCCTATTTCTTGCCTCTGTCTCATCGCCTTATACTTCCAGCCTGGACCTCCAGCCTCTGACTAATCGCCTTAGCCAAAGATCTGGATCATCGCCTCTCTCATCACCTCTCTCCTTATTGTCTCAGCCAAAGATCTGGTTCAGGAGTCACCATCTCTTGCCCAAAGTGCAGCAACTCCCAACTAGGTTCTGTCCTGCCTTGCCCCCTCTCTGTCATTCTGCAGCCACAGTGATCCACTACATGCTAATGTAAGGCCTCAGACTCACCCATGGCTCCCTACCGCCTTCTAAAAAAAGTGCAAACTCCTTCCATGGCATAGAAAGCCCATTACGATTTGGCCATTGCCCATGTCTATGGCTCTCACCCTCTGCATACAACTTTACATAAAGTTTACATAAAAGGCATTTGTAAAAGACCAAAGATATAAGTAAACATAGAAGCCAGGAGGCTGATAAAAGCTGTGAGTGCAATCTGAAGTGGGTGGGGACAAAGCAGCAAGAAGGCACGTGAGGCATGGCAGGGATGGAAGACTTTTGGGGCCATGGTGATGGTGAGGCAGTTCTAGAACGTCCCAGATCCAGAATGAGCTTCTCGCTCCTGAACCATATCCCAGACAGCAGGAGGCCCAGGTGGAAGGCTGTTTCTAGCTTCCTATGAGATTTCCAAGTGCCTTGTATATCCTGGAAATAACTCCCAATCACTTGAGGTAGTTGGACTAAACCTGCTGTAGAGTGAATGTTTATATCCTCCCCACGAATTCACATTCTGAAACCTAACCCCCAATGTAATGGAATTTGGAGGTGGGGGCCTTTGGGGAGGTGATCAGGTCATGAGGGCAGAGTTCTCATGAATGGGATTAGTGCCCTTATAAGACTCAGGGCCAGGCGCAGTGACTCATGCCTGTAATCCCAGCACTTTGAGAGGCCAAGGCAGGAGGATTGCTTGAGGCCAGGAGTTCAAGACCAGCTTGGGCAACATAGCAAGACCTCATCTCTATAAAAAATAAAAAAAAATTAGCCAGGTGTGATGGCACACACCTGCGGTCTGCTACTAAGGGGGCTGAGGTGGGAGGATCACTTGAGCCCAGGGGCTTGTGGCTGCAGTGAGCTATGATCACACCACTGCACTCCAGCTTGGGCAACAGAGTGAAACCCTGTCTCAAAAAGAAAAGAGAGAGACTCAGGAGAGCTGCCTTGCCTCTTCCATCATGCAAGGAAAGCGAGAAGACAGCTGTCTATGAACCACCTCTCTGGTGGGTCCTGACCAGATACTGAATCTTCCCGCACCTTCATCTTGCACTTCCCAGCCTCCAGGACTGTGGGAAATGAATGTCTGTTGTTTAAAAGCCACCCAGACTATGGTATTCTGTTATAGCAGTCTGAAGGGGCTAAGAACCAAAAAAGTCTGATACAATATAGATGGTACCTGAAGACATGGACAGGGATGTAAATCTCCCAGAGAATGTGCAGAGTGAGAAGAGAAGGCTGTCTGAGATGGAGTCTTGGCTAGTGTTTTTTTTTTTTTTTTTTTTTTTTTTTGAGACAGGGTCTGTCACCCAGACTGGAGTGCAGTGGCGCAATCATGGCTCACTGCAGCTTCGACTTCCTGGGCTTAAGTGATCATCCCACCTCAGTCTCCCAAGTAGCAGGGACTACATGCGCACACCAGCACTCCCAGACAACTTTTCCTTTCTTTCTTTCTTTTTTTTTTTTTTTTGAGACGGAGTCTTGCTCTGTGACCCAGGCTGGAGTGCAGTGGCGCGATCTAGGCTCACTGCAAGCTCCGCCCCCCGGGTTCACGCCATTCTCCTGCCTCAGCCTCCTGAGTAGCTGGGACTACAGGCGCCCGCCACCTCGCCCAGCTAATTTTCTTGTATTTTTAGTAGAGACGGGGTTTCACCGTGTTAGCCAGGATGGTCTCGATCTCCTGACCTCGTGATCTGCCCATCTCGGCCTCCCAAAGTGCTGGGATTACAGGCTTGGGCCACCGCGCCCGGCCTCTTTTTTTTTTTTTTTTTTTTTTGAGTCAGAGTCACGCTCTGTCACCAGGCTAGAGTGCAGTGGCGCAATCTCGGCTCACTGCAAGCTCCGCCTCCTGGGTTCAGGCCATTCTCCTGCCTCAACCGGGATTACAGGCGCCCACCACCACACCTGGCTAACTTTTTGTATTTTTAGTAGAGATGGAGTTTCACCGCGTTAGCCAGGATGGTCTCCATCCTTTGACCTCGTGATTTGCCCACCTCGGCCTCCCAAAGTGCTGGGATTACAGGCGTGAGCCACTGCGCCCGAACTTTTTTTATTTTTATTTTTTTAAGACAGTCTTGCTCTGTCGCCCAGGCTGGAGTGCAGTGGTACGATCTCGGCTCACTGCAACCTCCGCCTCCCAAGTTCAAGCAATTCTCCTGTCTCAGTCTCCCAAGTAGCTGGGAATACAGTTGTCCGCCACCACGTCTGGCTAATTTTTGTATTTTTAGTACAGATGGAGCTTCACCATATTGGCCAGGCTGGTCTCAAACTCCTGACCTTAGGTGATCCACCTGCCTCGGCCTCTCAAAGTGCTGGGATTACAGGCATGAGCCACCGTGCCCTGCCTCCTATTTTTCTTTCTCAAGACGGAGTCTCATTTTGTTGCCCAGGCTGGAGTGCAGTGGTGTGATCTCAGCTCACTGTAACCTCGGCCTCCTGGGTTCAAGCGATTCTTCTGCCTCAGCCTCCTGAGTTGATGGGATTACAGGCGCTCACCACCATGCCCGGCTAATTTTTGTATTTTTAGTAGAGACAGGGTTTCCCCATATTGGCCAGGCTTGTCTTGAACTCCTGACCTCGGGTGATCCACCCACCTTGGCCTCCCAAAGTGCTGGTATTACCGGCGTGTGCCACCGTGCCCACCCAATTTTTCCTATTTTTAGTAGAGGTGGGGTTTCACCATGTTGCCCAGGCTGCTCTGAAACTCCTGGGCTCAAGCAATACCCCTGTCTTGGCCTCCCAAAGTTCTGGGATTATGGGCATGAGCCACTGTGCCCAGCCATGATGAATTTTAAGGCGTAGATCAGAATCGATGATGCTGAGAAAGAGAATGTGCGAGAATGGTGAGTGAAATAAGAGGAACATTGGAAATTACTGACTCAGAAGTTCAAAGAGGAAGGAGTGGCTGACACAAAAAGTGTTTCTGAGAGATCAGGAAAGATGATGATGTGTCCACTGGAATTGCCCACCTTGAGGTGGTAACCTTGGTGGGAGCTGGGTCAGGTGTGAGGGGAGCCAGGCTGCGAGGGCTGAAGGGACAAATGGGAGTGCAGTGCAGAGTCCCCTCTGTGGCTTCAGTTTCTTCACTGGAGGAGGGAGGAGCTTTTGGGGCATGGAAGGCTCTGGAATAGTGGAGGGGGATGATGGAGAAGGATAGGTAAGAAGACTGATAAGCAGGAATGAGGGCTGAGACCAGAGCCCCCAGACTTACAGAAATAGGAATCTGCACAGATGGGAGATTCCCTCCAACAACCTCCCATCACCCAGATGTAGCAGCAGAGAAGCTGTTGAAGTGCTGGCCCAAGATTTCCAGGTTTCAGGCTGGGATCAGTGGAACGCTGGTGGCCAAAGTGGAAGTGTGGCAAGAGAGTTCAGATTTTTCACATGGGGTCTTGGCTAGGGAGGGAGAAATGCCAGAAGAGGCTGGCTGACAGGCTGGAGACCTGTAATGTCCCCTATATACAGATGCTTGGGAAGCAATTCTGGGTATGAAGAGCTTTAGTGCTTAGCTGTGGGGAAGGGTGGAAGAGATATGGAGAAGTCCTGAGACCCAGAGGCAGTGTTTAGTTGTGGGTTTTTTGAAGGGCAATGGCGTCCTCTGGGGGAAGGCAGGAACTGCAGTAGAGAGGATGGCTGAGCTGGTGCTAGACTAGTGTTGCTGGCCGGGGAATGCAGCGAGGGGGAGGGAGGTACAGGACCAGGGCAGGGAGAGTCCCCTGGAAGGAAAGTGCAGGGAGAAGGCCCTGGGTTCAGTGGGAGGCTGTGGAAAGGGCACATAGGATCCTTGGTGTCAGGACCTTCTGGGGAGTTCTGGGCAGCCAGACCAGCCACTGGCTCCTCCCTTTACTACTCATTTATGCACCTCCCCCTCTTCCCCACCCAGGGATTGCCCCCACACCCAGCCCCGAACCTCTTTGATGGCTGCCATGCGAACGGTCTCATAGTAGTGCAGGGGTGCGTTGGGTGTGCTCATGTCATAGCCAAATCCTGCAACTGCCACCTCGTCACAGCCGTGTAGTGCCATGGTCACTGCCACACTGCCAAGGGTAGGGATGTTCTGGAAGATGGGGGCAGGGGGGAGAGAAGGCGTGCAGAGTTCAGCTGGAGGGCTGGGACAGCTGAGACTTCAGCCAGGCTCCCTAGAGCTAGCTTCCACGCCCAAGGACTGAGCCCTCTTCCCCAGAAAGCTATTTTGCAGAAGCACTGCCCCACCCACCACCCACCCTTCCTTCCAAGGCACTTCTGACCCAGCTCTCTTCCTCCCTCTCCCGGGGCCCAGATATCTCACCCCCCGGCCCATGAGGCCATTGTTGAAGGGCAGGCCAATGAGGGTGAAGGCAGCCTCCTGGATGAAATATGGGTTGAGGATTCGAATCTCAGGGGGCTCCTTGGGCACTCGAGTGGCCACAGATTTCCAGAAGCCATCCGACGCACTCTGTGGACACAGCAAAAGCGGGCCTGAACGAGGCACACAGCTAGGGATGAGCCTAGGGGAGTGGCAGGGACCCCCAAGTAGGGACAGTGAGGCGGGAGCACAAGGCGTTTAACGGGGAACCCAGGGCCTGTGGTGTAGGGAGCCCATCTGTGTTGGGGGAAATGGGGTGTGTGACAGGGACAAGGGGAATGATGGTGAAGAGAGTGTGTGGTGGTGCTCCAGTGTGTAACAGAGGAGGATACGAAGGGGCTTGTGGGGCAGGCACAGGATGTGGGATGCTGTGGGTGTGCTGCTGTGGCCTGAGGGGGCTCCTGGGCCAATGAGAAGACCCAGCAGTGCAGCTGCCCTGACTCCCTATCTGCAGCAGCTGAGGGACTGGGAGGAGCCTGCCCTCTCTCCTGTCTGCCCTCCTGTGCTCCCACTTCCCTTGCTGCTGTCTCTCCTGGCTCTCTCCATCGACTGTTCTAGAGTGGACCTGAAAAATGGAGACAGAGCGTGAGCAAGCAGAGCACAGCAGACCAACACTGCTGCTGACTAGAGTCGGGTGACTGGGCAACAAGCTCTCCAAGCCTGTTTCTTTAACCATAAAATGGGATCATTCTTACCTGAGGATCTCTGCACTGTACTAGAAAGGCATCACCTCTGAAATCCGACATCCCAGTGTCCATTCTGGGGCACAGCTTCCCCTCCTTCCAAGTCTCTCTCTTCCTCCCTCTCCACGACACAGAGGCCTTTAGCTCCCCAGCCCTGACTTACTGTTTAGTGCGTCCACCCTCCTTGTCTGGACCCTGAAGTATAACTCTTGCGAGCTGCTGTAGTCCTCTGCCCCTTGTCCTTCTATTGCCCTAGTCTAGGGAAATCCCGAACTTGGGATCAACCCATACATCCTCTTTTTCTCCCTTCACAACTGGGCTCCTGAGCACCACTGGAGAAGTCACAAACCAACCCTGCAGGCTGGAGGCACTGCCAAACCACAGGCTCCAACCAAACTGTTATTTGCATAGAAAACCTAGAAGAATCAGTCGAGGGCAGTGGCTCACACGTGTAATCCCAGCACTTTGGGAGGCCAAGGCGGGTGGATCACCTAAGGTCAGGAGTTCAAGATCAGCCTGGCCAACATGGCAAAAGCCCATCTCTACTAAAAATACAAAAAATTAGCCAGGCGCGGTGTCAGGTGCCTGTAATCTCAGCTACTTGGGAGGCTAAGGCAGGAGAATTGCTTGAACCCAGGAGGCGGAAGTTGCAGTGAGCCGACATTGTACCATTGCGCTCTAGCCTGGACGACAGAGCCAGATTCTGTCCAAAAAAAAAAAAAAAAAAAAGAGAAGGAAAGAGAGAAAGAAAGCCTAAAAGAATCAACTAAACTTAGAATGGATAAAATAATTTACTGTAGCAATAGGAAACAGTCATCAGATATAACAAAAAGATCTTATTTGCAATCGTAACAAAAAAGTCAACTATTGAGCAATAAACATAAGAAGTATGTGACAACTATAGGAGGAAAACTATAATTCTTTACTGATATAAAAAGATGACTTAAAAAATGGGAAAGACAAAATCATATTCCTGGATAGGAAGGCTCCAGTGGCAGCTCCTCCCAGATTAATGTACAGGTTTAACATAATTCGAAGAAAAAAAATCTCAGTAGGACGTTTTGAGATCTATCAAATGGATTCTAAAAACCCATCCAAAAGATTTATCAGGTAAACATAACACCCTCAAATTAAAAATTAGGTATTACAGTATATTATGGGTTTGCACTTATTACAACAATAGATATGTGTGATTCAAAACCAGGAACAGTGAAACAGGATCGCCTAGAGGCAGGTCAACACAGGTATAGGTTACGGAAACAAATGAGATTGGAAAATTTCCCATTTGGGAAGAAGATCCATTTACTTTCTCTCCTCACACCATATACAAAATAAATGTTTAAAAAGCAAAAAAAGTGAAATTTCGGCTGGGCGTGGTGGCTCATGCCTGTAATCCTAGCCCTTTGGGAAGCTGAGGCAGGCAGATTGCTTGAGCCCAGGAGTTCAAGAACAGCTTGGGCAACATGGAGAAACCCTGTCTCTATAGAAAATACAAAAATGAGCAGAGCATGGTGGCGTGTGCCTGTAGTCCCACACCGTCAGAGGCTGAGGTGGGAGGACGCTGGAGCCCTGGAGGCGGCAGTGGCAGGGAATCATCATTGCAGCACTGCACACTCCAGCCTGGGTGACAGAGTAAGACCCTGTCTAAAAAAAAAAGAGAAAGAAAAAAATTTGGATGTATATTTTATCACTGAATTATCTATACATTAATGCAATGGAAGAAATAAAGAAAAAGACATATTTTGACTTTATAAAACATTTTTAAGTGCTTTGGCACATCAAAAATATATGCAAAATAAGGTTGGGTGCGGTGGCTCAAGCCTGTAATTCTAGCACTTTGGGAGGCCGGGCGCAGATCACTTGAGGTCAGGCGTTCGAGACCAGCCTGCCAACACCATGAAACCCTGTCTCCACCAAAAAACACAAAAATTAGCTAGGTGTGGTGGTGTGCGCCTGTAGTCTCAGCTACTTGGGGAGGCTGAGGTGGGAGGATCGCTTGAACGTGGGGACGGAGGTTGCAGTGGGCTGAGATGGCACCACTGTACTCCAGTGTGAATGACAGAGTGAGACTCTGTTTCAAAAAAAAAAAAAAAAAAGCAAGATAGTATAGAGAGGGAAGCAAAAAAGTGGTAAACATTTTGTCACAAATAGTAAGAAATGCATATTTTAAAACCTCATGAAGAATCAATGAGGCCCCATAAAAATGGGTAAAGCACACAAACAAAAGGTTAATAAAGCATGGAAAACTTTAACTCACTAATGACAAAGAAATGCACATTAAAATAACAATTTTTTTTTAACCACTAAAATCTGTGTATGTGTATATTTGTGTATCTATATCTTGGTGCTGGTGGTAGTCTGCTGAGGGAAAATTCTGGACTGTTACAGGAATAAATCTGGCACAGCCTTTCTAAAACACAATCTGTGTGTCAAAGGACTCAAAGCTGTCTGTATCTTATGACCTCAAAATTTTCCTTCTAAAAATAATCAAAATGAAGACCTTTGTAAAAAGCTCTTTATTACAGTATTACTTACAAAAGTGAAAAAACAGAAAAAAATCCAAAAGTTTACAACAGAGGTTTCATTAAATGATACATTTATGTAAAAGAATGTCATAGTTATCGAAATGGTATCTTCTAAGAATTTTGGGCCAGGTGAGGTGGCTGGCTCATGCCTGTAATCCCGGCACTTTGGCAGGCTGAAGTGGGAGGATTACTTGAGCCCAGGAATTCAATACCAACCTGGGCAATGTAGTGAGACAGTGTCTTTACAAGAAATAGAATAATTAGCTGGGCATGCGGCTGTGGTCCCAGCCACCTGGGAGGCTGAGGTGGGAGGATCGCTTGAGTTCAGGAATTCTAGGCTGCAGTGAGCCGTGATTGAGCCACTGTACTCTAGCCTGGGCGAAAGAGAAAGTCCCTGTCTAAAAAAAAAAGGAATTTTGTCTTATAGATGTACCATAATGTATGTAACCAACACTGTTGTTGGATGTCTAAATTGTTTCTAGTTTCCCCAGACCTCTTCCTTCTCCTTGTTCCCTATCCTCTACTGTCCCTCCAGTCTTCCAAACCAGCAACCTGGGAATTGACTTGAGATTCTCCTACACCTTTCCAGTCCATCTTATCTTGTGCTGCTGGTCATCAAGTTCTTTTGAGTCTGTCTACTTAGAACCCTACATATCCGTCCCTTGATCCCAAACCCACTGCCACCACTTCCAGGACAGGTCTTATCATCTTTCATCTGGACTATCCTAATGACTGGCCATTTACATTGTCTGTCTTTTTGACTGCTAAACACCCCAAAGCCCAGTAGAGCAACTGAAACAAAACTGAAACATAAATGGTATGCAACACGATTGTAAAATTCTATTCACTTATTCAATGAGCATTAATGAGTGCCTACGATGGGCTGCCTCTGCCTCCCAAACCACTTTCTTTTTTTTTTTTTTTTTTGAGACAGTCTCGCTCTGCTGCCCAGGCTGGAGTGCAGTGGCATGATCTCGGCTCACTGCAACCTCCATCTCCCGGGTTCAAGCAATTCTCCTGCCTCAGTCTCCTGAGTAGCTGGGATTACAGGTGTGTGCCACCATGCCCAGCTAATTTTTGTATTTTTAGTAGAGACGGGGTTTCACCATGTTGGCCAGGCTGGTCTTGAACTCCTGACCTTAGGTGATCTGCCCACCTCAGCCTCCCAAAGTGTTGGGATTACAGGCGTGAGCCACTGCGCCTGGCCTCTCAAACCACTTTCTCTCTGCCAGAATGATTTTCCATGTACAAATCAGATCACATCACCACTGCCTACAGAAGAGCTGAGCCTTTTAGCCAGTAACCCATCTGTCTCTTGTTTCAGTCTCTGTCCATCTGAAGTCCCCACTTGCTAATTCATGCCCTACACTTTTGCTGATGCTGCTCCTTGTCTCTAATGTCCTTCCCACCTCTATCCACATGACCCATCTATTTTCTAAGGCTCAGCAGCTGCTTCTCCTTTATGTCTTTCCTGACCCCCTCCACCCCAAGGCAGAACTGACATCTAACCTTCAAGAGGTGGTAAAATATGGAGTTCAGATCCTTGGTCCTAGGATTTAACTTCAGCTCTGCTCACTCACCATGTGCAGATCCTGGGCAAGGAATGTACCATTTCCTTATGGATAAACGAGGGACACCATGACTATTTAGCTTACAAACTATTGCAAGAATTAAATGAGCCAAACCAGGCTGAGTGCACACTAGCCCCACAGGGCAGGGGCTCACATCTGATTCACCTCTGTAGCCCAGGGCCTGGCCCAGCACAGGCAACAAAGAGGCATCAGTGATGGTTACTAAAGGAGATCTGATCTCCACCCAGGGCCCCCAGTGACCAGCAGCTCTTCAGCCTCTTCTGCTGCTGCTCCTTTGGTGGACTGTCTTT